AATAAATGTATTAGAATTTGAGATGTTGTTCTCCTCTTCCTGCTGCTTCACCAATAATAGGTGATTAGGTCCATCTTTACATGGAAATCATAACACTATGTGGAAGCAATGTGATGATAGTGTGTTGCATGCTTGTGAAATAAGTAGTTCGTGCAGCTCCTTGAGCCTGCTTTGCTTTGTTTGGTAAAGTTTCAATTTTTTTTGTTTCAAATTCTTCTCCTCTGCTACCTCCCCTACTCTCTTCCCACCACACCCCCATCCCCACACTTAACCCTGTTTTCTCATGTGACAAGAATCAATCCTTCATAGTCTTAGAAGTATAGAATGCTCCCCCCTGTCATCTGGGATATGATGGTATGGCGTTCTAGAGCAGGATGCTTTTATTTGCAGTGTATTTATTCACCTCTTGCAGTGGCAAGGGGTTAGAGAAGGAACTGGGTACAAATTTAATCTTGGCAACAGGTGGTGGTCACCTGGCTGGAGATGTCTTGTTAGCCCTGTGTTGCTTTTCAAGAGTTAAATGCCCTTCTCTGGGAAATATCAGATTTTCCTCTGGATTTAAGGATGTCCATGAGCCTCCTGTCCTCGGCTTAATTGGGGAAGAGGGGTAGGGTACCCATGCTGCACCACCTCTCCCTCCAAACATGCCTTTACAGGGAGCTTTAAATTCTGTCCTACATATTTCCTTGTGATGTCAAATACTTGCGTTATTCTGGTACAATGCAGTTGATCAGAGTGAAAGAGTATTGAATTTGGCAGATTATGTCCAGTTAGTGTATCTCCGGGAAACTCTGAATGTAATGTGCATTTGGAGGTGTTTTAAGGGTGCTCATCCTTCATTCCTGTCCCATATACTGATCCTGTGGATGAACTGCTCCAGTTACTGAGGTTCAAGGTTGTGAGATAGCCTTGAACTTCTGTCTCCTGTGGACATGTTCCTTGTCCCCAAAGTAAGTCCCTATACCACTGTTAAAGATTTGGAAGGCCTAGTGTACAGAAATGGAACAGAACTGTGCTGCTCTCTGTACATTGAAGCTTCATTGGCATTGTGACCATTAGGATTAGAAAGTGTAGTCTGCCGTCACTTAACTGAGTGCTCTAGTAATAGCAAATATTTTTGCTTGTCTATATTCTAAAAGCCCCCTAGCATCCTGGTAGTGATATTAAAATGAGACTGTTTTTAAAAAAAAAAAGTACATAAAAAAAAAAAAAATTTAAAAAAAAAAGGATAACATTATTTGAAATCTCTTATTCCTTTCTTGTGGAATGATTTAATTTTGTTCAGTCAGTGCTAAGGAGTTGTACATTTTGTTATCCCATTTGTCTGTGACACTTCAAAACTTTAGTTCCAAGGGGATTTGGCAGCTAGTGCTCTGTGACAATGTTGAATAAGTTGTTAAATGCAGTTATTCGTTTTGTAGAATTTAAAATAGAAACATAGGCCCATCAGGTCTCCTCTGTTGTCCAGTGTGATCATGGCTGATCAATGCAGTACTCTGTTCCTGCTTTTTTCTTTTACCCCATATCCTTTTGATCCTTAGTCCTTAGAACTATATATCTTTCTCAAAGGTCTTCAATGTTTTGGTCTTAACAGATTCCTGTGGCAGAAACTTCCACGTGGTTACCACCTTGCGGGAAGAAATTCCTCCTCATCTGCCCTAAAAAGGCTTATCCTTAGACACAAGCCCCTGGTTCAGGACTTGTGGTCGTTGAGAACATCCTTCCTACAACTGCCCTGTCAGAATTTTAAGTTTCATGAAATTCCTCTCTCCTAAACTCCAATGAATATATTCCTTACTGATCAGTGTCTCCCTGTACATCAAGTCCACCATCCCAAGAATTGGTCTGTAAACTTTCTTTGCACTCCCTCAATTGGTGGAATATGTACCCTTTAAGGAAACCAAAACCACGCACATTATTTTAGATGTGGTTTTCACAATGCCCTGTACGGTTGCAGCAAACCATTTCCGCTCCTCTATTCTAATCTCCTCACTGAAGGCCAACACAACACACAAGGCTCTTTTACTAGGCTTACTGGTATCTAGCCACAAGTACAAGAGACCTGCCTTTGTTATTTATGTTCACAATGTGGTTTTGTGGTCTTGTAGATCTTGAAATTTCTTGAGCCTTTTACTTTGGGTGGACCAAAAGTCCTGCTAATCTAGTCTTTAGCAGCTGTCTTACCCACGTGAAGTTTTCCTGCGGAGAGACAAATACAAAATAACTTGCTTTTTATTGAATCATGATTAATCTGGACATTTTAAACTGTTGCTTGAAGGTATATGGTTTATTTGAGGATTTATAATTTGAGTTCCCTGATGGTAAGGAGCCCGGTGTTCAAGGGGAATGCCTTCCCATCTGAACACTGCATTATTTCTGGCAGCTTTTGGAGGTTTCTCCCCTTCTCCTGGGCTAAAGGGCACGATCTGGTTTGGCTGGGCAAGCTGAGAGCTCGGTTCGTGACAGACGACAACACCTCCCAGTCGCGAACCACTTCAACTCCCCCTCCCATTCCCTGAACGACACGTCCATCCTGGGCCTCCTCCAGTGTCACAACGATGCCACCCAGAAACTGGAGGAGCAGCATCTCCATTCCACCTTAGAATTCTACAACCCAGTGGTCTTAATGTGGACATTTACTAGCTTCAAAATCTCCCCACCCTGACCTCATCCCAAGACCAGCGCCCACTCTTATCCCTCCCTCCCTTTGACCTGCCAGTCTTCTCTCCCATCTATCTGCTGCACTATCCACCTTCTATCACTGCCCCTCTCCTCTTTATTTCAGAGCCCCCTTCCCCTACCCCCATTTCTGAAGGGTCCAGACCTGAAACGTCAGCTTTCATGCTCCTCTGATGCTGCTTGGCCTGCTAGTTCCTCCAGCTCCACACCACCTTTATCTGAGAGAGAAGAGGAATCCTTGCAGACAGCATCAGTCTTGTTTTCTTGTGCTTTTTCTTTACCTAGGTGGGTGGGTGAGATTTTCCCAGACATCATGTAAACTTATGGAAATTAACTTCGAATTGAATGGTGCAGATGCATCTTTCCTCTTTAATCTGCATCTGTGGTGTATGGGGGATTGCACTCTGCCAATACTGAGTCATTGGTTACTTGACCATTTGTTTTTATTAGTTTTCTTATCTCTTTATTGCTTTGGCAGACTACTGCCAGTCTTTTCCCTTACTTTAGCTAAATGGCAGTAATATTTGCCTTCGAGGTACTATCTTGCCCTTGACCTGAATTAACATCTTTCCTCCTTACTAGTTTGCTTTTGAGACATAATATTTTAAGGGAAATGGTTATCTTCTAAAGTTTGTAAAATGATTAGTGTTCACAGTAAGCCCAAGTATATATGGGAAACTGAGGAATTTTTTTAACTGTATAGCTACAGAATGTTGACTCTGGTTAATGCCTCTTTCTGCACAGCTGTTTTTTCTTATTTGAACATTTGCATGTTGGATATATTTGGTAGTTTGTTGTAATTGGCCTTGTTAATCATGGAACAATTATCCAACCCACTTATCCTCAATCCTGTGTAAGCACCTTACTGTGCATACCAGCTTGTAGCAGTCCACAGCAGCAAAAGATTTGGAGATCTATTTGGCTGCATCGGTTTCATGCAGTGACTGAAGGTAATAAGTCTGTTTGGACTCAAGTTCTGCTTAAACTTTTTTTGTCCTTGTTTATTTAAAAATAAAGCTTGAACTGCTGTATGTACTCTGGGAATTTAAGTTTGAATGAAGCAAAAAAAAACTTTACTAATGAGACTGTCTGCCTGAAAACAGTTGAGTGACTTCTTATCTGAATTGCACAGTTTGCTTTGTAATCTTCATGAAATTCACGAAGTCTGTTGTGCTGTTTTGGTGATTTGTGATATGGATGGTGAGAAGTTATCTATATTTTAAAAACAACTGTTTCAGCAGTGACAGATGCACTCTTTAGTTCAGATGCTATATAGTGCTTTTTTGATGTGGATGAGGGAAAGGATATTTTTGAGGTGTTCCTGGCTCACTTGAGAGAAGTGATCATTACTGTTGTCCATTTAAATCTTTTTTTTTGAAGGTTCCTAATACCTCTATCAGTTGAATAGCTGAACTCTATTGACAGTAGAAGTGCAACGTTTGTTTGGAGACCAGTTTTGAATTGTCTGTTCTCAGTTGGGCAACAGGTGGGGTGCTATTTTGGACCCTAGACTTGGGGGAAGTGATTCTGATTCCCTTTTTCTGACTTGTTTCAGACAGCTAATGGGTATTGGTTTTTGCTGCTAACTTGAATGCAGATGTGAAGATAAACAATATAGTTGCCATCCTCAGCCATGTACAAACTTGTTTGTTTCGCACCTATTTTAAAATCTAACTTTGCAAGATGGTAAAATACTAAACGTTATCCTGTACTCAATTTCCACTGCAGTGTTCCAAATCTGAAGCATTGTGACTTTTAAAAGTAGATTCCTACTTATGCAACTCAAATTAGCTTTTCTATCTTATTTCCCCTGGCTAGCTAGAGGGATGTTGTATTGTTTCATGGAGAAGCCATCGAAATGGTTTTAAAGTTGGGCACCTAGGGCAGAATTGAATTGCAACATGCAGTTTATGCAGCAGGACCTATTTGGTATTTTTATATACAATTTTTAAAAAGGTTAAAAAATTTACAGTATGTGCTGCAGAGGTTTCTATGGCTGCAAGTTGTGAATTTGACCAGTATATGTACTACTGTCAATCTGTTAAATCATTGTAAGGCTAACATTCAAAAATGATTTAGGATTATATGAATAATTATACACTGTCTCCAACTGCACCAGTTATATTCGGCTCTCATGGCATGTAAATTATCTTTTAGAAACTTGGCATTTCTGCTCTTTAGCTTTAAACATATTTTAGCAGGAAGCTGGTGGTACATTACTGGACACGCAGATTTAAAGGAAGATTGTACAGTTAAGTGCAATAAAATATTAAAGAAGGTAAACTATATTTAAAAGCTAACATTTTTGTTTGATGGTTTAGGAAGTATTTTATCTGACATACACACCTGAAGATGTTGATGGAAATGTCCAACTTGAAACAGGAGATAAAGTTTCTTTCTCCATGGAAACAAACAAACAGTATGTATGGCTGCCTTTGTTAATTCTTGGTGTACCATGCTTTGTACCATTTTGCTTCACAATAAAACAGTTCTAAGGCCTGATGAAACTATTTATCTGAATAGATGACACATTTTTTGGGCATGCTAGCAAATTAGCTGAAGCTCTTAGGGACCAAGTAATTAAACTAAACTGCACTGTCCAGCAGTAGCATGCTAGCAAAATTTACCTTGGCAAAATCCACATTTAAATTCTGTACCAAATATCTTTTGAAGCTGGCTAATCTTGTTTATCGGTGAGGGCATTTTAAAATTTCTGACATTTTAAACACAGTTGCCCCTCTTGTACAAATTGACATTTTTTCTTCTAAACTACTGGCTCTTGTCTGTCATGTTTAGGCACTTCTGTACTACAGCAATGTCCAATTTGTTTAAAAACATTACTTTTGATTAGAAAGATGACTCCCTGACATTTTGAAGAGTTCGTGAGCGCTGTGTACGTAATTAATTTGATGACTTGACCGTTACGCATCTTTTTAAATAACAAAATATTCACAGCAGGTGCTGGTGTTGCAATTTGAAGATCTAAATTCACTGAGGTTGATTAGTTGGAAGTTACCAATTCTTTTATCTATAGTGGTTGCTTTCCTCCAAGGAGGTGATAACCCTCCAGTCCAGAAAAACTGAAGAGTGAATTTGGAATTAACAATGCTTAGTTGAGCCTGAACCTGAAACGTCTCTAGTTCACTTATCCGGTTTGTGCTTGTGTTAACCTGATTTCAACCAGGGGAGTCTACAGTACTGCTGCTGTTGACTCTTTCTTAAATCTGCTGGCTGAGCACTACTGGAAGCATATGCACATGTTAATGGGAATGAGATGGAATAATCTGAGATCCAAACTGATATCAGGATTGGGGAGTTATTGCTTGATGTATCATAAAAGTAACAAATGTGACCATTGACTAAAACTTAAACTAAGTTCACCCTGCCATCGAGCAGGTGAATTTGCATCAATACCCTTCATGAAAATGTTTGTGCTAACATTAAGCTTTGAGACAATCCCAACCTCGAATTATTTTATTTTCTTTGCTCCATTTTGTCAGTCTGAAATGTTGTTACTTCATGCTCCAAATCACTCCCAGTAGGTTTTCTGTTCTGATTTGCACCTGTCAATATAATTGGTATCAATTTGTAGCAATCTTCATTTAGGTACAGCATTTTCACTAGAGCTCTAGATGCCCCTCCAAAAGCTACCAGCTTGGCTTTCAACTTTCAGCACTGCCTTCACCTGCCTTTATGGCAAAAGTATCATGTTGGTGCCCTCAAATTGTACTTCTCCAAACCCCTGAGAAGCATTATCTTTTTTTAATGTTGTTATTATTCTCTTCAAGATGGTTCTGTTTTTCTGACTCGACATTTCCAATTTCTGTGTGGATTTGCAAACAAAGGTTTGCGGTCACCCATATGTTTCTGGGATAATGTGAAACTATCACTCCAAACTGTCACCTTTTTTAGGAACCTTTGATTTCTGGAAGGGCCTTGATACATAAAGGAATATTGTTTTTAAATTCATCCATTGACCCAAGACAGGTCCTTTCAAACAATGCTTCAGTTATGGGCAATTTAATATTTCAATGAATACAGTAAAAGTCAGTGCAATCATGTTCATTTAAGCTAAACTCACTGGCCTCCTTGTGGCACATGGCTTCAAAAAATTGAGTCTCCAGTTTATGATGCTATAGAAACTAGTAACTTTTAAAAGAAACTTGAACTTTTAAGCAATATTTGAAAGGTTGACACAACAAAAGTGCATTTTAAGACTTACTGTAACACCAAACTAAAATTACTTGAGTAACTACTTTTATTCCGGTAACATTATAATTTTAAACTTAAAAATATATTTCCTGAATGCACTTTATGTCCTTTTTTTTTAAGTAGACATTCAGTTCTCCTTGAATAGGTGATTCAAGTGATTATTGGCTCATTGTTTTACTTCTTCTGTTCTTTTCCTTTCCAAACCTGATAAGACTTCTCCAAATTGAGACTTTTCCCTTTTGGAGGCTCCTCCTCTAGCACAAATGAGGCATTTTCTTCCAGCTTCATTTTTAACACTCATTGGTCTTTCTAATCTGAGCGCTTAAACTCAGTTGTGTTCCTGTGCAATTGAACCACAGAGATCTTGTGCTTTTGCACAGAGTTTCCTGGAATATCTTAAAAACCTGCCTATCCCCATTGGGATATGAATTACTTTAGCTTTGTATCCAGGTTAAAAAATTGATTGCTCCTTAACCTTAACCCTTTCTTCTTGGAGTTAAATTGATAGATTGTGAGCAGAAATGTTTAGCACCTTGCTGGTAAAATATTTCAACCTCTGGCTATCAAACCACCCAGGCTTGCTGGCCAGTCAGAACTGATCACGTGAACCCTTTGATTTAACTTTAAGGATAGTGTCAAAATGACTTTTTAAAAAACTTGATCATTGTGTTTTTTTTAAAGTTCTGGCCAAATGGTCCCCCAGAACAAAAATGGGTTTTCTCCTAAATTTGGACATCATGATGTTAGTAAAGCATTTGAATTGCCAAAACCTGTGGTTTCCAGTGACTAAAATGCAGACCAATGGAATTTTATTTTGAAGCTGTTTTGCTAAATGTGACCTAAAATTCTTGTAATGCTAATCCAAAATAACAGACCATTTAGCATTATAGTATTAATATCTTTACTTGGTTTGCTATTTAGGGCAGTAGTAAACCAATCAGAAGTTTGTGCTTAATTTTGTGACTACTTTATCTGTCAGGAAATTACTGCACACTTGTTCAAAGAAAAAAATCAACATCCAGCAAAATGCAGAGATAACAAGGTGCAGAGCTGGATGAACACAGCAGGCCAAGCAGCATCAGAGGAGTAGGAAGGCTGATGTTTCGGGCCTAGACCCTTCAGAAATGGGGGAGGGGAAGGGGGTTCTGAAATAAATAGGGAGAGAGGAGAAGATAGGTGGAGAGGAGACACAGGTCAAAGAGGTGGGGATGGAGCCAGTAGAGGTGAGTGTAGGTGGGGAGTTAGGGAGGGGATAGGTCAGTCTAGGGAGGACTGACAGGTCAAGGGGTGGCATGAGGTTAGTAGGTAGGAGATGGGGGTGGGGCTTGAGGTGGGAGGAAGGACAGGTTAAGGAGGCGGGGACGTGCTGGACTGGTTTTGGGATGCGGTAGGCGGAGGGGAGATTTTGAAGCTTGTGAAGTCCACATTGATACCATTGGGCTGCAGGGTTCCCAAGTGGAATGAGTTGCTGTTCCTGCAACCTTCGGGTGGCATCGTTGTGGCACTGCAGGAGGCCCAGGATGGACATGTCGTCTGAGGAATGGGAGGGGGAGTTGAAATGGTTCACGACTGGGAGGTGCAGTCGTTTAGTGTGAACCGAGCGTAGGTGTTTTGCAAAGCGGTCCCCAAGCCTCCGCTTGGTTTCCCCGATTTGTAGAGGAGGCCACAATGGGAACAGCGGATGCAGTATACCACGTTAACAGATGTGTAGATGAACATCTGCTTGATGTGGAAAGTCTTCTTGGGGCCTGGGATGGGGGTGAGGGGGGAGGTGTAGGGGCAGGTGTAGCACTTGCTGCGGTTGCAGGGAAAAGTGCCGGGTGTGGTGGTGGAGGGGAGTGTGGAGCAGACAAGGGAGACCCAGAGAGTGGTCCAGTCCCTATACACCTGCATTCCCCATACAGATGGCCTAAAGGCCCTCCGCTTCTTCCTGTCCCGCAGGCCCGACCAGTCCCCCTCCGCTGACACCCTCATTCGCTTAGCCGAACTCATCCTCACCCTCAACAACTTCTCTTTCAATTCCTCCCATTTCCTACAGACAAAGGGGTGGCTATGGGTACCCGCATGGGCCCAAGCTATGCCTGCCTCTTCGTAGCTTATGTGGAACAATCCCTCTTCCGTACTTACACTGGCCCTAAACCCCACCTCTTCCTCCATTACATCGATGACTGTATCGGCGCTGCCTAGTGCTCCCACGAGGAGCTCGAACAGTTCATCCACTTCAACACCTTCCACCCCAACCTTAAGCTCACCTGGACCATCTCCAATACCTCTCTCTCCTTCCTGGACCCCTCTGTCTCCATCTCTGGCAACCACCTAGAAACCGATATCCATTTCAAGCCCACTGACTCCCACAGCTACCTAGAATACACCTCCTCCCACCCACCTTCCTGCAAAAATGCCATCTCCTATTCCCAATTCCTTTGCCTCCGCCGCATCTGCTCCCAGGATGAGGTGTTCCACTCCCAACATCTCAGATGTCCTCATTTTTCAAGGACCACAACTCTACATCGGGGAAACCAAGCGGAGGCTTGGGGAGCGCTTTGCAGAACACCTATGCTCGGTTCGCACTAAACAACTGCACCTCCCAGTCGTGAACCATTTCAACTCCCCTCCCATTCCTCAGACGACATGTCCATCCTGGGCCTCCTGCAGTGCCACAACGATGCCCAAAGGTTGCAGGAACAGCAACTCATTCCCCTTTGATACCATTGGGCTGCAGGGTTCCCATGTGGATTTCACAAGCTTCAAAATCTCCCCTCCCCCTACCACATCCCAAAACCAGCCCAGCTTGTCCCCACCTCCCTAACCTGTCCTTCCTCCCACCTATCCCCTCCCCCCACCCCAAGCCCCACCCCCATCTCCTGCCTACTAACCTCATCCCGCCCCCTTGACCTGTCTGTCCTCCCTAGACTGACCTATCTCCTCCCTACCTCCCCACCTATACTCACCTTTACTGGCTCCATCCCTGCCTCTTCGACCTGTTTGTTTCCTCTCCACCTATCTTCTCCTCTATCCATCTTCTATCCGCCTCCCCCTCTCTCCCTATTTATTTCAGAACCCCCTTCCCTTCCCTTTCCCTCCTTCCCTCATTTCTGAAGAAGGGTCTAGGCCCGAAACGTCAGCCTTCCTGCTCCTCTGCTACTTGGCCTGCAGTGTTCATCCAGCTCTACGCCTTGTTATCTCAGATTCGCCAGTTTCTGCAGTTCCTGCTATCTCATCCAGCAAAATGCATTTTGTTCTTGATTATCTTAAATGCATGGTAAACTTCATTAATTAGCCAGAAATTACTGATAATTTTGAGCATGTTGTAAGTGTCTTCACAATCGAGGTTTACTTTTCGACTTGGTCCTTCTACTGTTCCTTCAAAAATTGATTCTAAAAAGTGTCCATTATTTTAATATTTGCCAGTGTCTGCAGGATGGTCATAAATTGTTTTACACAGTTTTACTTTTGCCTATTGCACTTGTGCTAGTGGACTGTTAGTCATGCTACTGTATATCTGCTTGGGTGCTCTGTGACTAACTGTACATGCTTTTATTTCTTAGTACTGGTGCTGTAAATGCTCACAACATTGTACTGGTGAAGAAGAAACAGGGTCGGTGTCAAGGTGTAGTTTGTGCCATGAAGGTATGTGTCTACTTTAGAAGATCCATTATCTTGAGGTAGTAACAGTTGATAGCTGGAAAGCTGATAAACCTTCATTGGAATGAAGATGAGGGTTTGACCATATTTTATTTAAAATTAGTTGTGTAATAGTGGTGGAATTTGAGTTGATTATAGATTTCAAAGTGAAGGTGCATGGTCAGTTGAACTTTTAAAATTTGCAGAATCATAACCTCTTAAATTAACACAACTGGAAATCTGAGATTGCTGGAGAAAAGAAAGCCTGGCAGCATCTGTTGAGAGAAAAAGTTAATGTTTCAAGTCCAGTGACACTTTGTCAGATCCTCTCATCTGCTTCTCAATTTCTCTGCCTTGCTGTTTTGAGAAACTCATCTTGCTGAATTGAGGTAGAGTTCTAAATGTTCTAGTTCTGAGTTAATAGCGTAGCTTTACATTAGGCACTAATTATGTGCCTTCCTGATCTTGACTTGGACTGTGTTATCAGAATTATGAACTTTGTGCCAGCCCCAACCATCAGTCTTCTGGACTCTGAAAGAAATATGATCATCTGTGCCAAAGAAGTGACTAGAATTGTCATGTCATTAAATTTATATTTAAAAAAAAAACTAATTTCTTAATCTGATCTAATTTGGAAAATTGGATGTCAATAATGGTGTGTAGTTGGTACAAAAAGATAGCATGTTTTGTTAAGCCTTGTTTTTAAAGTTTATTTCAGATCTGAGTGTCTCCATTAGGAATATTACACCTTTCATCAATTCAGTGTTCTACTTGGGCCTTAAATTACCTGCATAGATGTAGAAATATATCTTGTATATCAAATAATTATGTTAACTGTTCATTGATCTTTAAAGGAAGCATTTGGATTCATTGAACGAGGTGACCTTGTAAAAGAGATCTTCTTCCACTATAGTGAATTCAAGGGAAATTTGGAGACCTTGCAGCCAGGCGATGATGTGGAATTTACTATTAAAGAAAGAAATGTAAGCAATATAACGTCCAGTGGGGACACAAGTAATCTAATTAGTTTGAAGACGTATAAATGTGAGGAAGGCAAGAAGCTGAGCAACTTCATATATTTGTGGTATCTTCTGCAATAGCACTTAATTGTATCCACATAGCTGAGTTTGACAATGTCCAAGATTTGAACGAATGATCTTGCAGGACATAAGTTTCTCTTATCTGAACTGGGTTGTTGATACCTGGAGAATATTTTAAGGTGTTCTGATGTACCTTCTAACTCTCAAATGTGGTTGAGGCTATAGAAGTATAATACTGAACAGTACATTACAACTGCTTCAATCCTTAGACTCGCAGGACCCAGTGAGTCTTCGTCTACAGCTGAACAGTTTATTGAGGGGTTAGCATTCTTTCCCTTCTGTTGAGAGTTAGAGAGGTTGCAATGGTATGAAATGACTGCACAGTTTGAACAATTGAACTTAGTTGTGTGCACAATTGCAGGCAACTAACTTTTATTTTTGAGAATGTGAACCTGCTTAGAATTGCTAATGTTCCTCAGGGCAGTCACTTCAAAATTTTGTTTTCAGTTTTATGCTGTCAAAGAACAAGTTTAAACTAGTGATAAAATGTGAATATCTGACTTGTGATATCCATACTTTACATTTCAATACGTATCCGGTTTTCTTTTGGAGCTGCTAAATATAAAGATTTTGTTACAGGCCCTTTATTCTACAACCAAATTTTTATTTATTGCATATCTGGCTTCTGTTTTCAGCTGTTGGGGAGTGAGTTTACAAGAATGACTTATTCCCCTGCACCTTTTTCTTTCAAATCTGGCAGCATAGTCATGTATGTCTGACCACCATGTGCAAGAATAATAGTGACCATTTGGCTAGTGGAAAACACCACCCTGTGTTGATGTAGGTTGGAGTTGTACATGGAGACACTGAAATCCTCATCCTAGACGCTGAAGGGATTGCCTGGGAAACTGTATGTTCCTTTTGGAAAGCCCGGAACCGCCAATATCCATTAAACTTGGAAACTCAGATTGAGTAACTATTTTACTTAACTCTAACTTTTGTTCTAATTTTAAATTAAGTCCACAGTTTAACTTCAAAATAACTATTACACTGATGCCATACTGACCTCTTGCATCCCCCAAACTACACCATTGTGACCATTTAACACCATAAGACCCTGATGCTCTGCTGAGAGCATCACCATGTCTGTTATAAAAGTACTTAACAGAATGGAAGTATATCTCTGCATTTCTGAGGGAGACATGGGCAAAATTTCCTTTAAGAAACCTGGAGCTCCCTCCTTTGGTTTTTAAAAAAAAAACAAAAAAATTAGGGCCTGAGTGGCGAGTGGCAAGCGGCACAAGATTCATCAGAAAATCTGAAGCTATATTTTGTTTTTGACTAGGAAATTTCTAAATAGCTGATTTAATGAAAACCTACAAGCATGCAGTCCAGTAACTGTGTGCCTGCTTTCTCTCTAGGGAAAAGAAGTTGCCACTGAAGTGAAACTGTTACCCCAAGGAACTGTTATATTTGAAGATGTTAGTATTGAACAATTTGATGGAACTGTCACCAAAGTTATTCCAAAAGTATCCAGTAAAACCCAGGTAAATAGCCTACTGCAGACTTTGTACGTGGTTATTAGAAAGATGTGTAAAGTTCTGTCAACAATGTTACATTTTTTTGCTTGAGAATTTGACTATTTTGCATGCAGATTGAATAATCTGCAAGAACAATTATTCCTGTCCAGTGGCAGAAGATTGACCAATTGGTCATTTTGCCAGTATCTGCATTGATCATAAAACATGCTGTAAAGTAATGGACAAACCCATAGTGGGAATTTTACACAGCATGGTTAAATTTTCTATTTTAAATTGTGCTTGAGTTGCATGGACACAAGTTAGAAAGAGGTTAGACATTGAAGAATTCCTATTAAAAATTCAAAGTCTGAATGATATTGAATATTAAATCAAGCAAACATGCTTAATGATCTTGAATGTGTACCTATTCAATGATTAAGCAATCAGTCTAAAATTAATCATGACTATTGCTTTTGTAGCAGTCTTACTGGCTGTTATTAGTTTGACTTGACTATTGAGTTTGTTGGGTATTTAATGTTAGTTATAGCAAATGGGAGCTTTGGTTTGGCTGTTACCAAGTTGTACATAAATCATTCAATGGTCGCTTAAGATGGTTCTGGTGTAACCATTTAGATTTTGAGTACTGCACTCTGGGAACCATGTAACTGAAATTACATCGCTTATTTAATGCTTGGTATCCTTGACTAAACAGGAGTCACCTCTCAATGGCTAATGCTATTCTGGGATGGGAAGTGTGCACAATTCTTTGAGTCAGGATCTTGCACTATTTATCTGATTAATTAAAGAGCCATTTAGCAAAAGCAGGTGAATCATGCAGAAAGAATCAGTGCATCAGTGTTTTACATGTGACATGCAGGTTGAGTAAACTGAAACATCGGTGCTTCTATTATTGACATACCACTTTAGGTGGAGAAGAACCTTCATTGTCATTTTGGACTAGCATTGGAAAGGGTTTGATTTTGCCTTGGAGCTTGGACTTCTGGAAATTCTGATTTCAAAGTTGTATGATTCATAATCTTGCTGCTTATTTGTAGACTGACCCCTTGCCAGGACGTATCAAGGTAAACTTTGCCATTTCCAAAGAACTTCCCTTTGGAGATAAGGACACACGATCTAAAGTGACACTCTTAGAAGGTGACCATGTAAGGTTTAATATCTCCACTGATCGACGTGATAAACTGGAACGTGCTACAAATATTGAAATTCTAACAGATTCTTTTGAGTTGACTGGAGAAACCAGAGAAATGGTAAGCTGGTTGTCTTTAACCTTTTTTTTTAAAATAACTGGATGTAACAGTGCCTTGCTCAGATGTGACTAAATCTTGATGACTTTCCAGTCATTAGTAATTTCAGAAAATGATACAAGGCTGTTAAGGTTCACATGACAGATGTGGAAGTAAGGGTGGGAGTAAAGAATATGGCTCGGAGGATAATGCTTATTAATGAATGACTAAAGGTGCCTAAAGATCAGTGAAAAATCTGCATTTCTGAATTTGTTTTCCTGCAGATTTATAAATAATTCTTTTTTTAATCTTTTTTAGGGTGTGATTGCTGCCATGAGAGATGGGTTTGGTTTCATTAAATGTGTAGATCGCGATGCTCGAATGTTCTTCCACTTTAGTGAGATCATGGATTGTCTTCAGCTTCACATCTCAGATGAAGTTGAGTTCACAGTTGTCCCTGTAAGTCTTTCAATTTATGTAACTTAAATTTATCCAATTTATGTTAAATTCTTTAAATGTCAGCTTTCCAAATTACTAAGCAAGTTCAGAAATGGGGCCTCTGGCCCATTGCTGTCTCCTGGGGTAGACTACAGTTGGCTTTTCCTGAGGAAAAAATTAAATTTTCCATGTGCAGTGCATTAGCTTAGCTGCAGTTGGTCATTGACAGTCAATGAATTCAGCCAGGACCTAGAAACAGCAATTAAACCAACTTGTGTTTTTGTTTGAAGGCACCTTGGGTGTGGTGTATGTATTTTTGATTCACTTGAACACAGACAGTTTCACTTCTGAAAGTGCTGTATTCCCTCCTGAAATGTCAACTAATATTGGTGCTCGGTCCTGAAGTAGAGCTTGAATCCACAATATGGCTAACTCAGTGAATGCTACCAACTGAACCATGTTGGTTGTTAATTAGACGTGAAGGGTATTCTGTGTGGAGTTGGTGGGGAAAAGAAAGTAAAGTAAATAAAAGTTTGAAATATGATTTCATGACATCATCCACACTGGATAATTCAGCTAGCACCATATGTGACATTAATATATAGATTTTTAATGTTTATAGACTCAAGTGATTTCAGGGTTCTTGCATACACAACTTGAGCTTTGGTTGAAAATGTAAATCTTGTAATCAACTGTTTGTGCTAATTTAGTGGAGTGGAAAAGAGACTTTTGTGGACAGGATATGCTGAGGAATATGGAGTTGCAGAGGAAAATTTCTCAAAGTTACAACTTTGATAACATTTAACCATGAAAATGACTAACATTTATGGCAAACAATACTAGTGCATATTAGTTTGAGTGCAACTCCCACAATCTTATTACTTAGTCATAAATTGAATACGGATGAATGAATTGAGGACCAGTTTTCTAAACTAGCAAGATGACTGCTCATCAAATTGCTTCTCAAATTTCAAATATCTTCTGAATGTCATAACATTGAGTGAGTGAAAACAATACTAAGCAATATAGATGAATCTGTGTCAGCAAGACTTGCCTTGGCAGCATTTCTGTGGTGTATTAGCTTTACTAATCTAATTAAAATTGCTTATTCTCCTTCAAAAGGATGTACTTTCAGCCCAGAGGAACCATGCAATTCGTATTAAAAAACTTCCAAAAGGAACAGTGTCCTTTCACACACAATCTGAGCAACGTTACTTTGGAATGGTGGAGAAAGAAGCTACTGGTTCAATATCTAAATCTACTAGCCCAGCCAAGGGTAAAGAAAAGGTAATTTAAAGTCAGCAACATAAATCATCCAAGCCTGAAGATGACTAAAATTTTGTTTAATATAAACTTAATAGACCCTTCCCAAATCCTTTTTGACTTTGACTGCATTTTAAAAACTAGCTCAAGAAATTTTGTGGAGTTAATTTCACTAGGTCCTATTGTAACTCAACAACCTGTTCAATTTTCTCAAATCAGACTTGTCTCTGAATTGATACAGGAGTATTGTACTTGGTTTAGAAATGCCAGCTGTTATGTGCAGTAACACTCCATTTCTAGTATCACTTCCAAAGAATGGATAAAAGGTGAGAGTTTGATGTTCTCAAGGTGAATGGGGTGTTGGGAGTGTAGATAAAAGCTGCTCCTCTGGCAAAATGACTCAGTAACCAGAAATTTTAAGTTTAAAGTCATTGTCTAAGGATGACAGGAGGAGAGAAAGACATGAGTTGTTAGGATCTGGAATCTTCTACTTGAAAAGGTGGTTAGAATATTTATGAAATAAACTTCAGAGTTGAACAGATCCTTGAGTATAAGGATCTTAGGTTGACACTTCATTTTTATATTTTAAAAAGTCTGGGATTAACTGTGTGATGGGCTGATTTTGTATTTTTATGATTCTATAAAAGACTGCCTTTGAGTTGTATTAGAATAACTCATTGTGTGGGGCCTGAATGTCATAATACTGATATACCTACTTAGAGCCACAATTCTTTAACTTCAATCATGTTTTTAATTCTGTGCATTAATGGGCTATTGGAATGAATTAGCAGCCTGTTTTCCAAGTGGGAGGTATGACGATTTAATGGCTGTCTGATGCAATCCTTACACTTCAGGAAGTTATTCTCAGGCTTCAAACTAAGGAGCAGTGCCTTGGGTGTATGTTACCAAGCTAGTAATTGGAGGCCTGGCCAGATGGGGATGAACATTCAGATCCCACCGCAGTGTTATGAATCTGAATTCAATAAATAATGCAAGGTTACTGTTGACTGCAAGAACCCATCTGATTCATTTTAAGGCCCTTAGGGGAGAACATTTGTCTTTACACTAGTCTGTTTTATGTGATTCCAAATCTGCTCTTTAAAATGAGCTATTAAATCATTTGATTAAAGGCAAAGAAAGTAATAAATACTGATAATGTCAGCACCACCTCTATCTTGTGAATGCGTCTTTGCCGAGGAAATAGTTGTCAGGCTGCAGGACTCAAACTTAGAATGTCCCAGTGTGTGCTGACAAACCAGCTTTAATCTTTTTTTCTTCCTAAGACTATATCCTACTCAATTCGCAAGGCTATGTCCCCATGTCTAAAAACAAGCGTGGTCCCACTTCTCAGCAAATTCTCACCTCCCACTTTATCAATCTCCCCAGTGCAAATCACTGGTATCTAGTTTTGACAATTCTCGCTCTCCCAGGCTTTCATTGCGTTCCCAGCTTCTCTGCAAAGAGCACTTCAGCTGTACGTTGTTAGTTAACAAACACTTCCTACCTGGATTCACCACTTCTGCTACCATAACCGTTACTGCCCAGTCCAAAAGTTGCAATCTTCTGCTTTTTAACTGGGCTTTTGTGCTTTTTTTGTTGTTGTTCCCTACCTGATCTGTCTCCTTTTCATGCCATTCTCTACTGCAAAGGCATGCTGCAATTTAAAAATGGCAATTTTAATCCTAACCGTATCCAATCTCTGAAGCTTCAATGGAGCAAACTTAAGTGTAGCATATGCAGCCTCTCATACTTCCAGGCACGCACCAGAAAAATCAGGGCTTACTGAGAATTGGAGCTCCTAGCCCCCAAGGCATTGTCGTGCAGAAATACTAGCTGGAGTCCACCTCAAATTTTTAGTATGTCTTTTCAAGCACCATGCTAATTTGTTCTTGCTGCATCCTTGTATTTCCTAGCTGAAAGGAGTACGTGGCCTCTTTAATATCCATCACTGTTGCTTTAAAATAGATTAAAAGCATATAATAACCTGGGATTACTGCAGTTTTTGCCTCCAGTAGGTAAAACCCTAACTTCTGAACATGATGTTTTAAATGGTCTTTTGGTGTATAGGATAATAACCTGTCTGCTACTCCATGGTGTGGCTTAGAATATATGCTTGTGCTATGACAAACTATTACCTTGAATTTATTTGTTTCAGGTCAAAATGTCATCCTTTCAAATCTTAACTGAAGAAATGACAAGGCTGAAATTTAGAGATGGAAGGAAGTGAGGCATTTATAGAGTAATTGTTATTCATTCGTGGCATGTGGGCATTATTGGCTAACCCTTTTTTTTAATTGCTGTAAGTGCTAAGGGTCCATATGCTCTCATGCAGAGTCTGGAGTCCCACGTAGGCCAGACTAGGTAAGGATGGCAGATTGGCTTCCCTAAAGAGGTTTTTTTTGTCTTAAGTGACAGCTGGCAGTGGTTATGTGGTCACTGGGCTAGCTTTTTAGTCAAGGTTTTTGACATTTTACATTTCACCATCTGCCATGGCAGGATTTGAACCAACGTTCCTAGGATGACCTCTAGAAATCAGGAGCCAAAAGGTCAGTAACATTACTAGTACACCATCCTCCCTGTTTGGTATGATACCCTAATGATTGAGAGAGATGGACAGGGTAGATAGTCAAGAGTCCAGGAAATACTAGGGGACATAAGTTTTTAAATTTGTGGGGAGATGGTTTAGAGATGTACAAAGCAGGTTTTTTAAGACAGGGTGGTAGGTACCTGGAATACCCTACTCGGAGGTGGTAGAATCGGATCCGATGGCAGCATTTTGAGGCATTTAGACAGCTATTTGAACAGGCAGGGAATAAAGGAATACAGATTATGTGCAGGCAGATGGAATTAGTTTAGAATGGCATTGTGTTCCCTACAATGTTGGGCTGAAGAGCTTGTTCCTGTGTTGTACTGTTGTGATTGGGGCTCATTGATGTTTGAGTGTTAATTTGAATATTATTTTGTCCTTCCATTCTTGTCTGTACCATTGTACTGGTTGACTTTCTTTTGCCACTTGACTCTGTCAGAGTGGCTTGCAGTGACTGGGCTATGGAAAGCCATTGAACTGAGTTTCTTTGGATGCAGGATTGGGAAAACATTAAGTGGCTGGAACAAGCTTCTGGTCTTAATCTCAGGTCTGAAGTTTCTCTTTTTTTAAATTCTGAAGTGAATCACCTTAAGGTACTGGTTTAGTAACTTGAGGTGATCTTGTGGACTGAGTGCTGCTTTGGACATTGAAAGAAGCTAGCTTTTGATCAGAACGGTCTGGTACTCGGCTGAAATCCATTGAAATTAATCCAGCAGAAGCCTTGCTTCCTCCTCCCACCCCCACCCCTGAACTAATCAGAATGTCCTCTATTACGGTAAGAGACAAGGTTCTTAATTTCTCTGCTCCTGCTGGACCCTCACTCCTCCAAATGAAGCTGAGGATTTGGAGCTGGTATCTTTTTTGATCCATGTAGAGTATCTGCTTTGTGATCATTGCAACAAAACTGTATTTGAAAGAAAACTATGCTAAAAGTGATAATGGGCTGGTATTAGCTTGACCAACATTTTGATGGGATAACAAGGTGTACAGCTAGATGAACACAGCAGGCCAAGCAACATCAGAGGAGTAGGAAAGCTGACGTTTCTAGTAGACCTGAAACGTCAGCTTTCTTGCTCCTCTGATGCTGCTTGGCCTGCAGTGTTCATGCAGCTCTACACCTTGTTATTTCAGATTCTCCAGCATCTGCAGTTCCTACTATCTCAACATCTTGATGGTCCTTGGTTAGCATTCTGTCTTACACATACAGTGCAAAAACATGTACATGTATTGAAAGTCTCTTGACAGTGCTTAAAAACTGCAACCATATGCTCACCGTCCTTTTTTTAGCTCCAGTTCTCAAACTCTTAAATTTTCCTTTTTTCTCTTCTATTTTCCTTCCAGAAAAAAGAAAAGGTATGAAAATACTCTTAAATCAAATTTCAGTTCAGTAAGATGCATGGTGCTACTGATCACTGAGTGCATTTAGGCTGAAGCCTTGGTTGCTTTGCAGGTGGCAGATGGGATTTTGGCATGGTTTGAGTAGCGACTTACTATTGAATCCTGTTTTGAAAATGTCAAATTTGAGTTAATGGGCATTTACAGACTTCTACATGAATTGTAGAGGCATACTGTGAATAGTTGACTTGAGTTCCTAATTTGGTTTGTTGTTTTTCTTAAGTGCATGATGTGATATTTGTGGATCTTATTCTGCCAAACTATTGAACTTTATGGTTTCTGCAATGTTTATAATCCCTGCATAGCATAAACTAACTGCACAGTGGAGCTGGAGATGTGGGTTATTTGCCTAACGCATGATTCTTAATTGTACTGAATTAAATTGAATTTCTAACTAGTCTCGATGCTTTTGGATAACACAAGGCCAAAGTTATCTCCTCTAATGTTTTAGCTGAGCCACTTAAGATTTTATGCCATTTACTGCCTTCTGGAATAACTTCAGTGTCTGGGATAGCTTGTCAACTTATTCTGAAGCTACTTGCTGATTGGTCCTGTTGGTTGGCAGTTTGAGGCTTTTGTTGGCTTTTCACAGATGAAGTAGTTGAAATTAAAATGGAGGAAGTAATCCAGCATAACAAAGGTCAATTGACTTGTGATTGTGCCATACCAGTATGCATTCTAACTGGCTACTTATGTAATCAATGTATTTAAAGGTTCCAATTCTAGGAATTTTCCTGCCATTGGACAAGTAAATGGAGATTTTAAATTTTTGGTTGGTTGGATTTGATCCCAGTATTAACTATGCTCGTGTCGTTGTAGTACTAGGTTGGAAATAAGTGATTCTGCATAAACAGTGGATAGATTTAATAAAACTGAGTGCTGAGCAGCCGATTTTCTCCAGTTATCCGCTGCATACTTTGTGGATCGTGGAGTTGGTGAAATGGCTTTGTGTTTAACAAATGTACTTTCTTTTGAGGCAAAGAAAAAGTACTGTCTTTTTAGAAGTAAAATATTTAGGATTTAGGTACTTAGTTTTGACTTGAGTTATTTAGATATGCAACTTGAAGTGCCGCAGATTTTCTGATTTGTTGATGTCTGGTGTTTATAGGCTGTGGCTGTTGAAGAAAATCTGAGCTTTCTGTTGACATTTTGTTATTTAACACTTACGTGTGATCAAACAATTTATACTTTTTAAAAATCACTCCTATGAGCTTCAAATTACTGTGATTGCATCTTTTTTCGGCTGTTTCATGTTTGTTGAATCATGGCTCGTATTTGCTTTCACTAATTAGGTTTAGCAGTAAAGTTACTAATGTTTAGGTGGTTAAGACTTTACACTGCAAGATCCATCTTGTAATTAGAGTAAAATCTTCAGAAATAGTAGGACATAGTCTGAATCATTGCTATCATGTACATTTTCATATTATTGGAAATGTTGAAATACATTTCATTCAGGGCTGTAGTGTTTTCTCAGCATGCCAGTAGCAGATGTGAGTGCTAAGAGTTGTATTGCATTCAATGTTTTAATGTATCCTATTTTCTTTTGTGGCACAGTGCATGTTGCAGTATTTTGAAGTCCTGATCAGAAGCATGTGCATGCACAACTGACATTTGAGTTTAACAAACAGACCCAAGAGTCATTGTCTTCAGATTAAAGAAAGATGAATCAATTATAAAATGATAAAAACATTACAGATTTCCAGTGATCAATAACATTAACATTAAAAGACAATGAGTGTAGAAGAACTAGTTGAAGCACCAGAGATGTATTAGTTAAGAATGACCAAACTAAGCAAACCAAAATTAGAGATGGGAACACCAGTCAGCCCTTCAGCTGAGTATACCCTGCCATTCGATATTATGGCTGATTGAATACTTGCCTGTTACTTGCCCTATCCCCATAAACCCTGTATGCTACTGACGATAATGTGAGGGAAGTGAACTTTACCAAGGGAGAACTAACTTTAACTTGACTTAAAACTTAAAGCGAGAAATTAAATTAGGAGTCACACAAGGTGTATACGATTAAGTGGAAAGCATTCTAATTGATGAGACTGAGGCTATGGTCGATTTGCCATCAGGCATTTTTCTGAACAAGGCAGCCAGATGATGGAAGATCTTCAAAATATGAAAGCAGCTTACTCGTTAAGTTCCAACAGTGGGCATTGCCTATAGAGCAAAATGTTGTAGATGATGAGCAGACAAACGTGAGGAGATCCAGAAGAGCATTAAACCTGGAAAAAGTTGAAGGTTGCTAAAATTGGACCAATAACACCCAAACACAAGAAATGGGAGCAGTGGAAGACCATTTGACCCCTGACATCTATTTGTAATATTCAATAAGATCAGGGCTGATTTTGATTGACCTTAACTCCACTTCCTTGCCTGTTCCCTGTAACCCTTGTCTCCCATGTAGATCAAAGCTCCATCTAACTCTAATATATTAAAGACGCAGTCTCCACTGCTCACAAGTAGACAATGTAAATATTACTGATTATGAAAATTTGTCCTCTATCTTCAAGTAACCGTAGTCTCTTATTCTCACTTCACTGGTTAGTCTCTGGATATCAGTAGCCTAACACCAAGTCTAACAATGGGATAAACACAAAATTCACTGAAAAAATTTCCTTTCTGCATTCATGTGAACCACTTTTGCGGTATTTGCCCAACAATCTCACTCAGAAATTGGAATGAAGGAAGCTGATCACCTATGTCCAGCTACTGATCAGATGTCCTCTTGAACTAGCTAACTTATGTTCTTAGGCAAGCTTTCCTATACCCTTTGCATGCAGATGATCTATGTATTCAGCCGATGTCCAGTCTCCAGCAAATAGTCAGTTTGGCCACCTGGCAAACATCTCAAACATGTCATCTACAGTGGCTAGTTTTGATTTTAATTGCCAGCTAACACTCACTTGCCTCTTCCTGGAAAGAGGCTTTCCTCTTGCTCTTCAGGAACTTTGACCTCAGGCCAGCTTCTTCAGGCAGTGAATGTTATTTCCTTTCTTACCTAAACAATTGTTTGTTGCTTTATAATCCAAACATTGTTAATTGGAAAAAATCCACCAGCACACTTTGATTCCCTTTTTAAACAAGACATTTTAGACTAGTTACAGTGATAGTTCAGTTCATTACTGTTGAATTTAGTACTTAACCTAAATGTTCGCACACCTTCCTTCAAAATTTACACTTTAAAATCCATGAAGTTCCTAATTGAGTTCATCACTAGGTTTCATATTTTTTGTTCTCCTCATTTTGTACAGTTTAATTTTGGTAGACCTAGCAAATTTTGGATTAATATCCACAGAAGACTCCCTTTTTAAACTGACCCCTAGTTTCAGCCCTTTGCCCCACAAAGGGGCAATATTTGTCTTTGATTCAACTGTCAAGCCTCCTCCGGATCACCAGTCTCCTCTCAGCATCTTTCCTATCTAATGTTTTTTGTGGCCAAATTTGCTGATGCAATACACTGTCCTTTCATCCAAATCATTAATTTAGATTACAAGTAGTCAAGGCCTATGCCTTGTTTGTCAACCTGAAAATGACCCAACCGTCCTGTTTTCCTGTAAAGTATTCAGTCTTCCATTCATGATGTTATCTTGTTGTGGTGTGTTCTTGACTTGCGTAATGACCTTTTTTAATGGCACTTGGCAAATTTCAAAAAAGGTATTTGTTACTTCTCTTTAAGCTATCCTTTTGCTTTATTTAAAAAAAAAGTTTAAATCTTCTTGCCTGCCGTCAATCTTTGCGCCATTACATACGCTTTCTTTCAGTTTGATACCATCATTAACTTAGTCAGGATCTTGTATCATTCTCTTCTCCCAGTGTGCGTGTGTTAAGAATCATTTCCATAAATGTCTGCTACAATTTCTGTATCCATCTTCCTAGCCCTCTGCCTTTATACATTTTACCCAAGTTTAAAACTAGTTTCAGACCCACATTTCTCCCTGTCCAACGAAAGGTGAAATTCATCACTCTTACCTAGAGGATCATTCATTGATCATGTCTCCTTGCCTGTTACCAGGTCTAAAATAGCTTATTCCCTGGTAGGTTCTGCAACCTCAGTCTAAAACTCCCAAATAGACTCAATGATGAGCTCAGTATATCATTCAGTTTGATTTGTTCAATGTAATGTAAAGATTAAAGTCAATATACTGAAAATGAATACCATGGAGTTGGTGGGTGGAAACTTTTTCCAGCCTTGTCACTATATCCTGACTACTCTAATGCTGGTTGCTAAGTAAGAAAGTAAGGGATAACTGGTAGAAGTAACAAAACCTGTAACTATACAAGATTGCTAGGACCTCTGCATTTATAGGTAGCAAATAAGCTTTAAACAGCCATTTAAGAAACATTTTAAATACTGCAGTGTAGGTTTTCTGGGTGGAATAAGTATAGGCCCTTCAGCCCTTGAACCAATTCTGAGTGAGTGAACTGATCATGTGATCTTTATGTAACCTTGAAGGTAATGCCATTGCGTTGCTGTTTGACTCATGGCATTTATAGGCCATATGCTCCATCTGGTTGATTTTTCTTATTCACTTCTGGGATGTGGGTAATGGCACAGCTAGTGTTGCTGGAGATTGATTTGAAGGGAGTTCCACAGTGCTATTTCGATGGAGTGGTCCAGGATCTTGAGACTAAAGTCAGGATGTTTTTGTGAGCTGGTGTTTTTATTCCCTTTTCTGTCCTTGTTTTCTAGGTTATAGAGCATGCGGATTTGGTAAGAAGCAGTGTTCTTTGATTAAAATGCACTACAGTACACAATGCAATTAGCACTGGAGGGAGTGAATGTTTAAGGTGGCTGTTGGGCTACTGGTCAAGCAGGCTGCTTGTTCCCTGGATGGTATTGAGCTTTGATCTTGGGAGCAATTGAAGAATATTCTTTTGCAATTTTGACTTGTGGGTGATGGGAATACACTCTAAGGAGTCGGCATGAGTTGCTGCTTGTAACCATAGTATGTATGCTGCTGATCCAATTAAGTTTCTGGCCAAAAGCAACTTCTGTTCTTTGCTCCCTCTTTATTCAGCTTTCCCTTCAACGCTTCTATGCTTTTTATCTTTTTTAAAACTGGTAAACGATATGTACAAAAAATATATTTCACCTCAGACTATATTAAATATTTAGTACTATTTTGGGGAATGGTTCACTTTTTTCAAAAATGACTTCATTGAATTTAATTGAAATATAAAGTTAACTTTGATCTCATGCATTGGATTTTGTCATACATCATACTTGAACTTAGTTGGCTCCTTCAGGGACCAAAGCATCCCCTAAAAAATTATTTTTGTAAATGTGGTCTGGTTAATATGCAAGGGGAGTGGCTTCAACAGTTGCTTAACTTGATTTGTTCTGTTGCTGTTTAGGATGCAGAAGAAGGAATCATTGCATATGAGGAAGCTGGGATAAGAATGACTGTACCATATCATATAAAAGACCTGGAAGGGGGTGCAATTCCACAGCTTGGTGATAAGGTATATGAAGCTCTGAGTTACTAGTACAAGTTTTTGATAATTTAAAATGACCACTTCTAAAAGGTAACCAGTACAAAATGTAATGGTGATTCATAATTTGGATTTCTGTTGTGATGAGTTAATGTCTTTGAAGCCATTTGATTATGGAATATGTATGCTGAACCTTACACTTACCACAAGGGTAACAACTTTCAACTCTTGTATGTATATTTTGGTTTCTTCTGTTTCCTTTCAACTGTTTTCCTCTGGAATTGCATGAGGAAAATTTGAGACTGTGTTTAGCTCAATGTATGAAGGCTGACACAACTATACCAAGTCAGTGACTGTGATCAGGGAAAGTGGGAGAGGGAAAAGTGCAAACTAAAGGGACTTGGGAATTGCTAGATGGAGGGAACCAATCCGTATAGTTGCCTTCTGTTGTCGTCACTATTGTGTGATGCAACAAGTAATGTGCTTACTAATTAATCAAATTATACAGTAGATCTTGTTTTTCAGTGTTCCAGGGATAAATATGCCCCATAATCTTGCTAAAACTCCTGTCCTTTTGCAGTGGATTTCATAATCCTCTATTTGCAAAGCAGTGAAGTAAACTGGAAGTATATTCCTGTTATAATGTAGGGAACATGCCAGGAAATTGCACATGCTCCTACGATCAGGTGTCGGTTATGTCAGATGACGCACTTTGCAATGTCATCCTCTTGCTGCTCGGATGCACCACATCCTCTTTAAAATTGAGAAGCAGGTAGAGAGCCACCGTGTGGCCATTATATGAAATTCTGAAGAATTTAACAATGTTACTAATCAAATTCTGATTTTGTTTTTAAAATCAATGCTGCATGATGGATTTCAGCAGTATTTACAAATGCAACGTACTGCAAACCATATACCAATGAGAATCCATATTCACAAGACTGCGAAGTAAATTTTGAAATGCATTGTCTTGTGATGCTAGAGACTCATCTGTTTAAATGTCTTAGCTTCCAACCATATTACAAGACCTACTATTTTGTCTATCTTGATCACAGCTCATTCTTGGGTGGAGGGGTACTGAAAAAAAAATAAAATTTGTCTGCTTCATTATATTGGATTGAAAAGCTTCATCCTTGGTTTTTTTGCCTGATCTTAGTTCTGTTATATCCAACAGAACTAATAACCAGTATGGACGTCTGCCAGTTTTGCTTTTCTGGTGAATTATTGTGTAATCCAATTGTAAAGCAGTTTCAGGGGTTCACTATACATTGAACTCAAACCTGCATTGTATTCCCAGTATTTTTAAAAAATGCTGAGCACTAATTGAGGAATTATGTCTCTTCAACATTTGAATGAAAAAAGTGAAGAAAATATGGGCACAGTTTATTCCCTGCAAGTAAGAGCAGGCAAACCATAAACAGTCAGTGGTATTAATGAAAAGTCGTACAAGAGTAGAAAGCTGTAAGGCAGTAGTTAGAAAATGGTACTGTTTTAGGTGTCCAATTATAAAATGACTTCATAGAATAAAACATGACTTCACAAACTTGATTCACTCCTTTGCATTGCAGTGGTTGTCAAAGCCTTAACCCAAAAAAGTGCACAAGTAAAACTTACTCCTAAAGACGTTTTAAGTAATGATGTTTGTTTGTTTTTATAACCAAGTCTGCCTATGTCTGGCAGTTCAGAAACTGGTTAGGGTCACTTCCTGGAGTTGTAGTGATCTTCATAAGCACTGGATATAATGCATCTGAAGCTTCAACTACGAATTTCCTTTTTTAATTACCGAAGCTTTTCAGAATACTTGATAGAGAATCACAAGTATGATTTCCACTGGCACGTGCTTCCTGTTTTTTTTATGGTTTCATCCATGGAAATAATTAGACTAAAAATTTCTTACTTCAGACTTTTTTGTATCTACTGTTTCATGTAGATTGAATTTAGTATCTGTGAAGTTAAAAGAACTGGTCTGCAGAGTGCAGTGTCAATCAAAATTATAAATCGTAACCCCAATGCCAAGCGACTTGTAGGATATGTAGCTGCTTTGAAGGATAACTTTGGTTTCATTGAAACTTCTCAACATGATCAAGAAATCTTCTTTCACTACAGGTGAGCCACATATTCGATTCCTACATTGTATTAATGAAATAATGTGAATGTAGTTACTTGGTGAAATACATACCAATGAGTGTGAAAGTCAAATCATGGCTCATTATTTGCTCGTTTTGTGTTGATTTCCTAAGTTTTGAGTATCTGGATTACATTGGCATTTACTTTTTACTTTGTGTAGAATTTCTAATGCTGCATTCTTCTACATTTTTTGTCCTTGAAGACTTTCAAATCTTAAGTTCCATGGTTACACAATCTCTCTCTAAATAAGAATTTAAGCTGTCAAAATTTATTACTCGATAGACTTGGGTTATGTAAAAGAGTTAAATGGCAATTATTACTATGCGGGCTTGTGGCCATTTTCTTTGTGTTCCTAAAATCCATCAGCCATTAGCTTAAGTACTTTCGTGTTCAACATGGTTGGAAAAAGTGAACTCTAGCAACACTAACACCCAGTGATTGTAATGAGAGATTCAGTATGGAACCAGTAATTTAATGTTTGGGTCAGATGTCAGTAAAATATTTGAAATAGTGTAACTTGTTTATTTTTCAAGTATTTGCCATCTGAAGAATGTTAAACATAAAAGGCTTCTTTTCCAGCTGATACTGGAGTTATAATTGTGAATTTTTTCTTGCTGTGCCAGCAGAAACGAGTAGAGTTGTGCATAAAACGTCCTGATTTCATGACTGCCCTCGTGAATGACATTTCCAAGCAATTGCCATTTTCATGTGCATTGTCTTCGGCAAATTGGCTTAATGAAATTAACTGTTCTTGCTCCTTTCCATCCCCACTTATATAATAACTTGGCCCAAAAATCATCATGACTATTATGGAGTGATGGAAATGGGAAGTGTGGAAGGTAGACTTGTGGCTCAGGTTACAATCGGAGTCCAATTCCTTTCAAGACTTTGCCTGTCTATGCTCTTTATCTTCATAACCTTTTCCTTTTTTTGTTTTTGTAATTTTCAGACAGTTCATGGTTGATTTAGAGCAGACTGCTGATGGTACTGTTATTAGGGAATTGCACCTTAGCTGCAGCAACATTTCCCTCTGTATTTACAGTTGCACTACAGTGGACAAATATAACTCAGTATGTTCAAAGCTATCTATCACAAATGTTTTTGAATAATAAAACCTCATTCTATTTTCATCTGGTTTTGTTTAGATTTCCAAAATTACTCTAGGCTGTACCTTTCTGAAATGCTGTATGCATAATTGTATCTATTGTAAATCAAACATTTGCAAGAAGTAGTTGATCTAATTTGAGGTGTTTGCAGTCTGGTTTACAGAAATATTTTTTAAAGGAAACTACATGAAGGTTAAAACAGTTCAGATATTCTCTCAATTTGAAACTTTTTTGAATTATTTGTTTACAATCAACTGGGGAAGATGTCATAATGCTGATGTCACTGGACTAGTAATCTAGAGTCCCTGGCTAATGCTTTGGAGATGCATGCTCAAATCCAACTTCAACTGGTGGAATTTAAAATTACTAAAAAATGTGGAATTAACATCTAATCTCAGTATTGTGACCAGTTATTGTAAATATCCACCAGGTTCACTAATTTTCTTAAGGAAATTACCAACTTTACTTAGTCTACAATGTTGCTGACTCCAGATCCACAAATGCTTGTCTTGCCAGCAATTCCTGCATTCTGCTAATGATTAAAAATACATGTATACATTTGCAGTACCTAGAAATAGAAATCTTGGTCAAACCAAGATTTTTTTAATGATGTAAGGGACTTATTTAATGTGGCATTCAGTTCTATCCATTTGGTACTAAAATGGGATGCTTGGTTGATTTCTTTTAATGTAAGGTGTGTCAAAGTTGAGTCTGTTTGTGTATTAAAACCTGGTAATTTGGAATGTGGGAACAATGTACTGTGTTACTACAGTTCACACCATGGAATCTTATAGATCATAACCAGTGTAAGAACTGGAGGTGCTAAACTCATTTCTGTGCCTCAGAGTCAGGGTCATACAGCATGGAAACATTCTTCATTCCCACTATATTCCCAGACTAAATTAGTCCTACAGGCCCTTTATCGCTCCAGATCTTTCCTGTTCAGTACTTATCCAAATATCTCTAAATGTGTGTAAATATACATGCATCCACCACTTCCCCAACAGTTCATTTAACACGCAACCCGCCCTCCTTTTTTGTCTTTAAAAAAAAAAGTTGCCCCTTTGTCCTTTTTTAAAATATTTCTTCTCTCTGTCTGTCTTTTAAAAATTCCCCCTTGTTTTGAACTCTTTTTCGCTCGCTCTCTCGCTCTCCCGCTCTCCCGCTCTCCCTTTCTCCTCCCCCCCCCCCCCTCCCCCCCCCCCCCCCCCCCCCCCGGCCAGAGAAAAGACCTCTCCTATTCACCTTATCTGTGCCCCTGGTGATTTTATAAACTTCTACAAGGTCATCCCTCAACCTTCTGTGCTCCAGTAGAGAAATGTCCCAGCCTAGTTTTATAAATCAAACAATCCATTCCCAACAACTTAAGAGGTGGTCTGGAGTGGACTTGTCCACCAGCTTGCTCTCCCTTTTGAATGATGCCTAAATGTTTGGCATTGTATTGAAGGCAGTGGTGAATTTCAGAGTAGATCAAGTAAGACCGTTGTGGCAGGTTGTAGGAGGTGCTGGTATGTTGAAGAAAAGGTAATCGTAATGAAGGACAGTGTTCATGCTCTGAAATTGTTGAGCAAAATGTTTAAGTTATCAAAGATGTAAAGTGTCTAACTGGCAAATGAGGTGTTCTTCCAGCCTGCATTGGGCTTTGCAGGAGCACTGCAGTAGGCCCAAGACAGATGTCAACATGAGCGCGTTCTCTCTGTACTTTTGAAATCGAGCAATGTTCGATAAGTTATTGGAGGCCCCAGTTTTGTGAAGAGGAAGAGAGATGAGACCCATGAAATAAGAAATTGGTATTGGTGTAAAATACTTGGTTCTTTGCAATTAAGCAATAATATTTGAGAACAAGTGACAGCTTGAAGGAAGTTTGCCACATCAAGTAAGTGCAACTGTTTCTTCCCAAAATAAACATATGACTTTTTTTTTGCCAGTGTAGTGGCTGCCCATTTAAACATACATGCTTGTGTGGGACTGAAGTGTTATAAATCAGCATACTACACTTTTATGTTCCAGTATTTGAATCACTTCTGAAATATTGGTCTTGAGACAAATTAGATGTGAAGACTGTGTATTCAGTTCAACCTTTTTTCAGCTTGTTAAATTTCACCAGGTAATGTTTTGTCCCCAGTGAGTTCTCAGGCGACGTTGATGAGCTGGATGTCGGAGATGTTGTGGAATACAGTTTGTCAAAGGGCAAAGGGAACAAAGTGAGTGCTGAGAAAGTTGCCAAGATTACAACAGGTAAGAACCAGGTGAATGTTGTGGATTATTTAGCAAGGCTCTTGTGTGGTAGAAAACTTGAAGCTAAATTCTTCAGCTTTGTCGCAACAGGGCTAGTGCGTTGTAACAGCCAACCAAAAATACTACAAATAATGCAGGCAAGGATAGACTGGTTTAACCTTATGGTGAATTAAAACCTTAGCTGTCCTTTTTTGAGGGGTTATGATATTGATACTTGCAGTGTCCTGTTCTCTTCCCCCCCCCCCCCCCACCCCTTTTTACAATCCCATAAATGCTAATTTTACCAGAATATCTTGGAAACTAAGTAACTAGCTACAAGTATATATGAGGAGCATTATACAAGTGAAATAAGTTACATAGTAAATGACTGCCATACGTAACATTGAACAAATGCAAATAGATTTAAGGGATCTGTAGAGGCTACCCTTGTGTAACTGATCCAGTATATATTTATTAGGATTTCTATATTGAAATTGAGCTGGATTCTCAATTTTTTGCTTCTATTTGCATTATTCTTCAGTTTGGTAGTTACTTCAAATTTTACTGTGCTTATTATACAGCTTGATTCAAATTCAAATGCCATGGTTATTTGAATTTGAATCATCTTTATGTTCACTTGCTCCGTGCAAGTAATGATTTTGGACATATCAAGTTCTTCAGCTGAAATTTCTATTTTTTTTTAAAACACTACTCAAACCAGGTAAAACCAGTTAAGAGCTCAACAGTTACCAAATGCAGTTCCTAAATAGCAGGACATTCCTACCTTTTTCTATATTTTGTGTTTAATTCAGTAACTAATACATTGATCAGTTGAAATTTTTAATATTGCAAATTATAGCCTTGAAATTTGGGGTCCTTTTGTTTTGCAAAATGTCACTTTATTTGACAGAAATGACGTTACGTGAGTGCATCACAAGATGAGAAGAAATGATCTAGCATCTTGAAATCTTGCCACCTTTTTTATAGTGATGTGGTTTAGTAATTCTGCATTCTCTCTTATGGGTCCCATTTGTAAAATGATAAATTTGAGGAGTTGAATCATCTAGCAGGCTGAAATCAATCCTCAAGTCTGTCGTGATTTGGCACGTAAGATCTCTAAGCATCCCTAGAAGAGAGGTGCAAATAGTTGTGATCCAGTATTGTTAGAAACCCAAATGATGCTATGATCTAGTTTGGGGCAAGTAACTCATCTTGATTATCGTAAATTAAGTGAGAATCCATATACTTGATAAGAGAACTAAAACCACAAGAATGCAGTTTCAGTCAAAGAAACAAAATAAACTTGTCTGTTAATTTGGAATGCAGGTAAAAAGTTATCTGACACACGTTCATTGATCTGACAGAACTTATCAAATGGCAGGCAGTCAGGTCAGATTCCACCAGTTTCTCAGCAGACCACTAAATGATAGTGACCAGATCACCAAATATCATTGAAACTTTCTAGTCTTTATAAAGGATTCCAAACTGTCTCTTTCAAAGATCCAGCTTCGAACTCCCCCAGCCACTCTCACAGGCTGTCTCAGTGATTGGTAGTTCAGTTTATTTCCATGAGATTGTTCCACTAGATTTCTGAGGCTGCATTGCACCTACACTCTGGCACGATTCAAGCTGTCTTGCAGGTACCTAGCTGTCTGTGCTGATGAGTTTCTCTGAGCTCCAACACAGCCCAGCTGCAAAAACTGAATACTGTTTTGGGTGTTCCTTCAACCCTCTCCCACTCTCTGAGCTACCAAAATGCTGAGACTTGAATCTTCCAGAGCCTACCGCAATGCTTCAGCTATTCAGAGCCATCACCTTTCACAGCTCCTCACTGGTGCGTACCTAGCAACATCCTGTCACCTTCTTAATTCATCAGGGCATCCTTGAGCCTAACTTCCAGGCAGGCAAGACCAGCCGCTGTGTGGAGCCTGTTCTCCTTGTTTATAAACTCGCTTATAAACCCCAGTTCAGACCTTGTGATAGAAGGATAATAACAAATGAAGCAGCTGAAGGTGGGTTTTCTAGGCCTGTCCATCTTGAATTACAGGTGTTCATTGCACATTTGTAACATGTCAGATAATGAAGTGTTCCATATCCAGATGTGGCAAGACAGCGACCAATAATAGGTCATGGCAAGCGATGTCTTGTGCAAGCGCACGCCTGACGAGAGATCCTGACCACTTAGTTCTAGACATTCAAACGTATTATTATCACTGAATCTCCACTGTCAGCATCCTGTAAAGGATGGTAAGATTTCAAGCTGTTAGGTCACTACTACTCATCCTGTGATGTATTCATGTCACTTCATTTTTGCCAAATAAAATTAACAATTTGTGCAAGTTGACCAGAAACTAGCCATATAAATACTACACTAGCAATCAGAGGTTGAGTCCTGCAGCAAATAACTCCAGACCTGACTCCCAAAGCTCTGCCATGATCTACAAGGCATCAGTCGAATGGGCGCAACTTCAAAACATTCTAAGTTAGACACTGTCCAGGATAAAACAGGATGCTTGATAGACACTACATCCACAAACATTTAACTCCCTCCATCACCAGTGTTCGTAGAAGCAGCATGTACCAGCTACAAAAATTCACCAAGGCATCTTAGACAGCGCCTTGTGAACTCAACCATAAGCGTAGCAGATACAAGGGAACACTGCCCACTGCAAGTTCCCCTCCAAGTCACAAACCACTCTGACTCAACAGTATGTCGCAGTTCCTTCAGTATTGCTGGGGTAAAATCCTGGAACATGCTCCCTAATAGCACTGTGTGGTCTACCTACACCGAATGCATTGCTGTGGTTGAAGAATAGCTAGAGGTGGGCAATAAATGCTGGCCCAGCTAGCGGGGCACATTTTGTGAATGAATTTTAAAAAGTAAACCTCTAACAGGAACCTGAAGGTGGCAACCTTCAGTTTCACTCGCTTTTGATCAACTGCCTAGGTCCTGTCAGCTACCATTTCATGAATTCTTTTATAGTGTGGTCGCCTTTCTCAAATGCAATAGCCCTTCTCTGTAAAGTGAGCAGATCTTTCAGCTTCGAGAACCCTCAAATGGCAGGCACAGCCAGTGCCAGTGCCACTGCTACATACCTAGGACTCTGCCATACAGGAAATTGGAGTGCTTGGCAACATCACAAACTTTTGCCAGAGCCTTCCCTCAAGATAACTAACTACCTTTTCATGAGTATTAGAGAAAGTTTGGATTTGGGGTGGAAAAAATAATTGGGAAGAATCTTAGCTTTTTTTTGTGTATCGTATTAAATGAATACAAAAGCTAATGTTATAACTTCTCCAGAAGATTGCTTAAGTCAGTATTGAGTTGTCCAGTTTTGGGTATGTTGTTTGAGTATAGTTTAGAGTAATGAAGTAGCTGCCAAAGTAGAATGACATCTCAAGGGATTTTTGAGGAAAGTAACCAGGGGCTGTTTTGCTGGGTTTTTTTGAAATGAGAATAATCGAGAGAAAATTTAATAGTATTTTAAATTATTCAATTAAAGTTAATGGATAAAAGATTGGCAAAGGAGCAATAAGAGAAGCTTTGAAGATTGTTTGTTTGGACCATGTGTATCCTATCAGAAAAGGTGAAAACAGAAATGTATTAAACTGAGTGAATCGTTGCCTTTTATAACCCATATATTCAGGAAGAACAGAGAATGTGTACATAGTAGCTCTGAGATGAGCAGTTTTGTCTATCTTGTAAAATAGTTTGTGGTGGCTGGCTAGTGATTCTTGTGGAAAAACTGTTTTTGAAGGTAGTGAAACCTCATTAAAATCACTAGACTTTCGAGGATACTTCCAGATTTCATTTTTTAAATTTTTATTGCATTTTTTAAAATTTGGGTAGAATCACTAAGAATTTCCTTTCTTGTAAACACGTAACAGTTATTTACAAAGCTTTGACTAGAGATTCCTTTTTGTTTTGTGATGAGCTCAGTGTACTAGTGTTCTATTCATGGGCACATTCTGTTAAGTTGAACTGTAGTATGATCTCTTCTTGATTTTCAATCAGATCTCACTTGAGCTATTTTAAATATCAATTTTAGCAGTCCACTTCCAGTGTCTAATTACAAATGCTGTAAAACTGTTTTACTGTTGAAGTGACTTAATGTTTCCATGACTATATAGTAAGGCCAATCAGGACTGAATGTTTCATTCCAAATTTATAATGGTTTTATGGGTTCTGTGTTTGCCCTGGATTTTGTCCTTTTCACCAATGGCTTTTGATACCAAAAATGAAAATCCTGTTCTCGAATCAAGTAATTTTGAAGATTTTTTTGTACAAAAACTGGCTCCGATGTAATGTCTTTATTCAGCTGAACTCTTTAACACTCAAGACTTCAAATGAATATTATGATCCTGGTTGTTTTCATTAGACAAGTCTGATACCAGACTGAAATCTGTCTTGGTAGATCAGCATTATTGAAGTGGTTCTTTAACACCTGAAGTTTGACTTTTACTATTGATTTTAATTTTCTGTTGAGAATTTGGTAGCCGCTTCCTAGGTTAGTCACAGGTCAGACTTTCTCGGCTTCAAAAAAAATCTTACAGGATTCTAAGTGAAAACATTTTTTGGTCTGGAGCATTGAACTAAATTGTTTGTGCTGAGGTAACCTAGTTCCTAACTTTTGTAAACTCTCCCTTTTTCAAGAAACTGTTCACATATCTATTAAGACCTCTGAACTGACAAAAGCTTTCCAAACACGCTTTCCTCAAAAAAAAACAAAAATCCTGGTTCTTCTAAACAGAAAGCAAGCTGTTGCTTTGATTTTTTTTAAAACTCTGATATAACTCTCCCAATGCCAGGGGAAAAACCCATTGCCCCAGGATTCACTCACATTCTGGTTTTTATAAAATATCACATGGCTCCAGAAAGGTAGACGAACTATTAAACCCCCTTCATACACCGACCCAACTGTCATGCCACTAGTTCAAAATCCAAAATCTGAAATCAACTTCTATTCATGGGATATGGGTGTCACGGCTACGCCAGTATTTATTGCCCACCCCTAACTGCTCTCTGGGCAATTAAGTCAACCACATTGCTGTGGGTCTGGAGTATGCATGTAGGCCAGACCAGGTGAGGATGGCAGTTTCCCTCCTTAAAGGACACCAGTGAATCCAGATGGGTTTTTCTGACGACGATTCATGGTCATCACCAGGCTCTTAATTGAATTCAAATTCCATCATAAGCATTAGCTGACATTGTGAAAAAGTGTCTTGCATGTGGTTCTAGATGTTCTCTTACTATAACCCAGTAATGAGTTGTATGCTTTTAGGAGGAACACACGGCAAGGAGAAGATATGAGAACCTGTAGATTTGTACAAGATACCATTGTGAAGCTCCAATAGCATTACACTCTGATCCTTGAGTGAGGTTCCCAATTGGTTACAGTTGCAGGTGGAATACAAATATTAAGCTGCTGGGTGAGGGGGTGAAATGGCTCCCTGTCTTTATTCAGAGCCCTTTGGTTGCAAAAAGGTTAATTTAAAAACTGATCCTTTTTCCTTTCTCCCAGACTCGGGTAATTTTGTTTCTTTTTAAAGGAGCCAATTTAATCAAGTTTTCTTGAGTTAAAACTGAGTAATTACAAAACATGAACTTTAGGATTGTCAATTGTCACATTTACCAGTGTTTCTAGAATGCTAGATGCAAACAAAGGACTTTCTGAGCTCTTGAACATAATTCTCATGCCTCAGTACTGAAGAATTTTCCCACGTAAGCACTATTCTTGAACAAACTCAGTGAGTGTACCCTGCCAAATTAAATACCAGGTGAACAACCCATAAAGCTGAAAGTACTGGAACTTCTTTCACTCTTTCAGTACGTAGTCCTGTTCTATTAATACTGCCAGTCCATAAAAACTGGCTTCACCACATAATTGGGTGAAGAATTCTGCTGCCTCTGATCTGGATGTGTATCATAGGATGTACAGTATCATGTTTGGAACAGTCGAGTGCCATTGGATGTATAATGGAAATAGCAAAACCTGATCAAAGCATGTTATTGGGGTCACCCATTGATAGGGAGAGGCTGAATGTGCTGGGACTATTTTCCCTAGGGGGACTGGAGGCTGAGGGGTGACCTTTTTTATAGAGGTTTATAAAATCATGAGGGGCATGGATTGGGTGAATAAGCCAAGGTCTTCTCCCCAGGGTAGCAGTCCAAAACTAGAGGGCATAGGTTTAAGGTAAGATGGAAAAGATTTAAAAGGGACCTAAGGGGCAACTTTTTCACGTAGAGGGTGGTGCGTGTGTGAAATGAGCTGCCAGAGGAAGTGGTGGAGGCTGGTACAATAACACTTTTTAAAGACACCTGGATGAGAATATGAATAGGGAAGGTTTAGAGGGATGTGGGCCAAATGCTGGCAAATGGGACTAGATTAATTTAGGATATCTGGTCAGCAGGGATGAATTGGCCCAAAGGGTCTGTTTCTACCTGTACAATTCATGGCTGAGAGAAATTTACAAATGGAATGTGCACATGCCTAGATTAGGAATGAGTGGTGAGTCTGAAATGATATTAGCTTTTTACAAATTACCTGCAAAATAATGCTGAATGTTGTAGCTGTTGAACTGGTAATTGACTGTTCAACTAATGTTAAGATTAGTTTCGTATGTTGGTTGAGATTGTGTTCTAATCTTTCAGCTATGATTGAATTGTAGTATTCAGAGTGAATGCATGTCTCCGAGCTAGCTAGCAAGCCAGCCAGACAGTGTCTCTCCCTGAAAACATGGGTAACTTGGGCAGTTCTTCTCCTGTGACCATCACCACACGCCAGTGCTTGAACCCAGGCTAATATACATGGGTACCTTAGCCTGCTGGTGAACTAGAGCATTCAAAACCATTTGCACCCTCAAGTTGAAACTAGCTTTTGAACCCCTGCTCTTGTGTATCCTTTGGAGGGGGGGAAAAACTCTTTGCAGTTTGGTGCGTAATCTGCAGAGATCATCAGCCTCTTGTTTTCTTTGTAGCCACAAGAAAAGGTCAGTCTATTTTGGCTTGCCTCTTTCCTCTTTCAAGGGTTGTTGTTTGAAGTTATAGACGTGAAACTCCAAGTGTTGTCGAACAGCCATTTGATTTACTGCACAAACTAGGGAAAATTGGAGATTTCACTTTTGAATCTAAAATGTAGAAGCGTTGTTGCGTTTCAGCTCAACTTGAAAGCTGTGATATTGTTAGCTTTTGTTTGAAATGCTTGTTACAATAATAAGGTTAGATGACAAGGCCTTGGGTCATTTCAGGTAAAGAGCATTTCAACACGAATCGAGGGTAATTTCAGAAAGGGTAGAACTAAAGTACAAAGTACCCCTGATTTCCCTCGAGTAAAAGTATTATGAATGATTATTGTAAAATCCTTGTCTGTCATTTGCTCCTTTTTAATGTCCTTTTTTGTTTGAGTTGCTTAAAGATATCTTGGTTTGTACGTGGAATTCTTGCCTTTCTTGAATACCAGCTTTCTATTGCTACCAGCTACCGATAATCATATTGAACTCATTAAGGTTGGTGGCCTAGCCTAGTTTTTACTTTTTTTCCTTTTTACAGTGAATGGTCCCAACGATGAAGTGTATCCAACTGTCTATACTGGTAAAGTGGTGAGGCCATTACGCAGTGTGGATCCACAGCAGGCTGAATATCAGGGACTTATTGAGATTACAGAAGAAGGTGAGGTTCTGTTGTCAATTTCTCTTAACATGTCTGGGCCCTGTGATTAATGCCTAAAACAATGTCTGGCAATGAACTGAACATGATGCAGTCAATCAACTTTATCGATGTTCTTCTTTATTCTTGCGTGGAAAGTGGATGGTGTTAGCATTTGTTGCCAAACCCTAGTTGCTCTTGAATTGTGCCTTGCTGGGCCATTTCGGAGGACATTTCAAAGTGGGTCAGGAGTCAAAAGTAGGCCAAACTGGATAAGGATGGCATATTTCCTTCCCTAGAGGATATTAGTGAATCAGATGGATTTTTATGACAATCAGGTGAAGATTAAACGTTTGTCTTTAGAATAGCTTTTAATTACAGATTACTTTAGTGAATTCAAATTTCACCATCTACCATGATGGAATTCAGACCCATGTTTCCAGAACATTATCCTTGGTGTGGATTACTAATTTAGTGACATTGCCACTAGGCCATTGCCTGCCCATAACTATGGGTTTTCCCTCAGTTATAATTTGCACTCCTTTATGGACTTGCCTATTTCCATCTCTGTAAACCCCATTCTCCATTTGATTCTGACTTCAAAACTTGCCATTGCTATGGTATTTCTTTAATATATTTGGTTAACAAAAATTCATCAGTCTCAGATTGAAAATAGCAATTTATTTAACATCAGTTGCTGTTTTGTGGAAAAGCATTCCAAACTTGTGTGTAAAGGTAGTTTTATAATTTTCACTCCTGTTCGGTCTGCAATCCTAGACTCTCCAAATAGCTGGAACCATTTTTTTGCTGTGTTTCATTTAATATCCTAAACCTCTGCCAGATCATCCCTTTACCTTCTAGTATATCCCAAGTTTGTGTCACTTTTATTGTAATTTAATTCTGTCCATCTATTCTGTAAATCTTTGTTAAATCTAGGCTGCAGGCTTTGCTTAAACATTTACATCACCATCTGTTGGGAATTGCCTGTTTACATTGTGACCAAATTACCTCCTTGCATTGCCATCTTTTCATCTATAACTGCATTTCTGTGAAGTATCTTTCAAATATTTTGCTTTCAAGTGGTTTTCTTAAATTTTTGCACATGTTTTTTGATTGATTTAATTATGACATTTAAAAAGCATCTGGATGGATACATGAACAGGTAGGTTTAGAGGGATGTGGGCCAAATGCTGGTAAGTGGGACTAGATCAGTTTAAGATATCTGATCACGCAGATGTGTTGGACCCAAGGGTCTGTTTCCATGCTGTACACCCTTGGCTCTACTTCATTTGTGTTGGAACGCCTGAAGATCTAATAGTTAAATGCGATCCTTCAGTGCTTTTCATAATTTCAAACTTCAGGACAGACGTGATTAAAATAACAGCATTTTATTTAGATCTTTAATGGGCTGTCTACTTGTAGTTGAGCATTTTCTCTATTCATCCACGCATGTGGTTGACTGACAGATCTCCTGCAAAGATTTTGCCACTTGAGTTTATCTTTGCTATCCTAAAAACCCTCATCACTTGGCTTGAATTTGCTACCTCAGTTTCTTTCTTGTTTGAAGAAACTCTTGGTAAGGCTTAGATTTTTTTTGATTATGGAATTCTGCTTCTATCCTTTGTTGCCCTGAACATGTTGACTTGTTGCCATGCCAGATGGCCATTTTTAAAATGCTAGTCTAACCTGCATATTCGGATAGTTTGTGAAACATTAAGTTAACTATGTTGGCATGCAGGGTGCTTTTACAAATAACATGTGCTGGAAAGTAATATTTATTACTGTTTGAGAATTCAGGAGATGGTATGTTCTTGCAGGGCCGATGAAAGGAGAAGTGTATCCTTTTGGCATCATTAGTTTGGCAAACAAAACAGATTGCCTTCAGAAGGGGGAAACTATCAAGTTCCAGCTATGCACCGTGGCCCTAACAGGACAGAAATTGGCCTATGATGCTACACCTTTACGAAGAGGCACTGTGGATTGTGTGAAAGACCAGGTGAGGGCTCACGTTGGCACCTTTTTTGTAGTATATAAACACTTACTTCCTTCAGTTAAGTGGATGTTGGGGGTTTCTAGAATTTTTCCTCCAATAGTTGAGTTTTAGAACTTAATTGTGTGAATTTTGTGTTCTCCCCTCCTGGAATGAGGCACTGTCCATAATAACGTTACAACCTTTAGGGAGTCTTAAAATTCTTCCTATATCTGGGTGGTGTACGTGAGAGTTGGGCACTTCCTATTTTGCTTTACTTGACCTATGACCTGGCTAGTCACAGATGGACAAAGCTGAGGGGCAAGAATGTTTTAAGAGTACATGCATCTACTTAGATGATTATACAGTACAGATAAATGACAGTATAAATGCATTGGAGTTGGAGAACTTTACTATAGTAATTAGTCCAGTATAGTTATTATCAGTGCTATGAAAATAAGGAAATGCTGCAGTGACTTTAGTATGGGGAAGATTATTAAAATCTTTCATAACTGACTGAGTTGGGTCTCTAATTGTTGCTTTGTAGCCAGTAATTGGAGGCAGAAAATGTACTCGGTAGATTTAAAAGTATAATGTATCAATCCTTAAGCTCCAACATACATTACTCTAATGAGAACAGATGAACTTCAAACTGGCATGCTGCAATATTTCTGTCCAAAATCTTACGGAAGGAATTAGTACAGATTTTCTTCGATTATACATAAATTGTTGGCTTGGTGAGTTAAATGTAGACCTTGATACAGTAGCCAGGAAGGTCCTGGGGTTAATTACAAAATCTTGAGTTATCAGCAGTGGTAGGATATGGAGATTGTAACCATTACAAATACGATGAGTGGGAAAATCAGTCGATGTCTGAAGCTGGGACTTGTCCAGTTTGCTGAAACTGCATGTTCACCTCAGTTGAGAATGTAATTAGGCTCCAGTGATGACAGCAGTGTAAATTACTTAAACGGCACTTGTGGCTGAGTCAATGCACACAACAATGAATATTCATTTGAAGTCCAATAAGTGGTCAAGTTTGTGATAATTTGCCGATGAAATTTTGAACTTTTTTTTTTGCTGCTGATTCTCGAAGGTAGGACCACCAGTTAACCAGGTGGGTGGAAATCTTTATGGAGGGCAAAGTGGGCAGCATGGCATCACCATGAGATAGTTAACTTGTCTGCTGCGAGGATTTGTTTGAATCAAGCTGTACATTTTCATTTGTTCACTATATTCAGTTATGGTTGTGGCTATGACACAGTATTGAATAGCTGTTATTTGAATCATGATTCCTTTCGCTTTGAGCATAGGAATGGGAGGGAGTAGGCCATTCAGCCCCTCGAGCCTGTTCTGATGCGCAGAGATCATGGCTGATCAGTTCGAATATGCTAAGGAAGTGTCAACTTTTTTTCAGTACAGCCCCTTTTGAGTGTTGAGTTTTTCAGGCAGGTAAATTGACTACATTCATTTAACAAGTTGAGTCAGCTGTTCTCATTTTGTACAAGTTGACAGTGCCACATAGGTCAGTTTTTGAGGCTTGACCGTGAAGAGATGGGTTCTGCTGTTTTTGAGCAAGTGTGTTTGAGATTTAGTGCAGTTCTCTCTGCAGATTGAGAATGTTTGAGGAGTTAGAGGTTGCAGAAAAGAAGGGGACAGAAGAGGCTGTTAATGTAAAATCTTTGTGGGTGGAACAGCACATCACCACCTTCACAACGTTTTCTGTCACAGCATTTTGAACTTCAGGGTTTGGCTGTTAGGCCGTGCTCACCTTAGAGCTTTGTGGGGGGCGGGGGTAGTATGTGGTGGCAGTGGTGGAACTTTTAGCACTTTGTTGTAACTCCACTGCACCCACAGTTAGGGATTCCCAGTTACACAAGTTATAACTACTGCACAATTACAGAAGTAATTTAAGTTAGTGAGAAACGTGCACTGAAACACAATTCTTGGCTGGCTGACTGTTGAGAGGTGGTTCTCCCCGATTGGAGAGCCTAGAGCTAGGGTCACAGTCACAAGATAGAAGGTCAGCATTAAGGACTGATAAGAAATCAAATTGTGGGTTTGTTGAAATTCTCCACCCCAGAGTGCTGTGGATGCTCAGTCAATAAATTCAAGACTAGGTCTTTGGGGTAATGAGGAACTCGGGGATATAGGGATAGAGTATTTTGGCTATGAAAGAGTATAAGAGAAATGAATTATTTAGTCCCCTCAACCCACCTGTGCCATTCAACAAGATCATGATTTTATACCAACTCCATTGTCCTGTACTTGAATCCCTTATTCCGAAGAACTAGATTAGGAAAGTGGAGTTGTGAAAGTAAAGTCAGATCTTATTGACTATCGGAGCAGGCTGAAGAGGCAGCATGACCTACTCCTGTTTCTTTTTATTTACCAGCCAGAATACTTTGCATTCCTTTGAAAAGGGATGACAGATTGCTGTATGCAACAAAGCCTAAGTGCTTTAAATTCTAATACATAAATGGACACAAGTTGTCCATAATAGTTTTAAAAAGAAGCATTAATAACATCCATTGGCCTGAAGGTTGTGATAGCATTAATTTGTATGCAACTAGAAGTTGGGAGACTTGCTGCAGTGGTAAATTTTTGGAGTGTTAATTTCCAGATTTTTGCACAGAATAGTGAATTAGGTTAATTAAACTTTGACTTCCCTTCCATTACGGTTGATGCAAGTTCCCACTTTCACTAATTACTGACTCTGCATGTAACATTAGTGTGTTTGCAGCTAAGTGCTTATAACTCATTATCCACTTTATACTGTCTGCTAACGCTATTGCAGATGAAAAATCCTAACCTTGTAAACTTGAGTATTTCATCTGTTTGCAGTAAATTGCACAGTAAGATTGGTCAATTGGTATCATTATTATTGTTTTGAACTATGTAGATATGTCAAAGAATTAAAATGTACCAAAGGTTTGAATGCGGTGTGTAGCAATGCATCCAGGCAGTTTGATAGAGTTCCTGATCTTGATGCACTGATAAAGGGAAACGTTAAATGAAGTCCTCCACCTGGGAAAGAGGAGGCTAAGTATCCAGGTCCTTGTTAAGCATATATGGAAGCAGGTTGCTGCCTTTATGAAATTGAATGCTGCTTGAATGGAATCATGGATTTAGTGCACACCTGTAAATATTTGTCATTCATTTAAAGATCATGAAAAAAGTTGAAGATTTAATAATTGAGTATTTAATGTGCCAGTTGGCAGTTTTTTTTCCCCCATTTTCAATACAGAAGGCAGCACCTTTGTCAGAATTTGGTACAGTCATTCCTCAGTATCTGCAAGGGAAGTGGGGAGCTGGATTCCGTTCCTGAGAACTCCTGCAAATGATAAAATTCACAAGTGCAGAACTCATTTTAAAAAAGATTTAAAATTGTGGATGTGATTTTTTTTTTCTGCCTGTGGATGTTGGTTTTTTGGCACAAGTGAATTTGATTTCAGAGGATTTAATGTAATTAGCACATGCTTTTGACATGAATACGTATGTTTTTTATAGTATTTGATTAGCAAGAGATTGTAATTTTTGTATAAGACCTGCTAAAGATGGAATGAAGTCAGCGAGGGATTATTTATGTACAGTTGAAATCATACCTAACTTGTACATTAATAGGTGCACTTGGTGATTTTAAAATATCCTACAGTGGCTTAATGTCTTTATAAAAATTTTTTCCCTATGTAAACTACCCCATAGCAGCAAGCTGTAGAAGTTGTTTCCATGGCAATATACAATTTTTTGCAAAGGGTGTATGGAGTACAGTTCCACTGACTTGCACTTGTAGACCTGTACAGTGTTAATGACGACTGCTTCAACCAGTGCATGAAATTCAAGAATTCATTGTTTGTTTTTTTTAAACTAGCAAATGTACAAATGGTAAGCAAAATATTTTGGGGCCTGTTTTATTTAATCCTGTGAATCGGCTGAACAAATTGGATTTCTTGTTGCATTAAAGGAAAATGAGGCAAAATTTAGTCATTTATTTCAAACAGTTGACATTATCCCCCAATCACTTACAAAAGAAAGTTGTTTCTCTGGTGCCACTTATCTCTGAATCCAGCTGTCTGTTTCCCATCCTTGAGTAACAACCACTCGGGTATCTGGCTTTTTCTGCCCTCTCCTCTTGGTCACGGTTTGAGGTCATTAAACCTGGAGCTATTAGGAGACGACTTCGAGTGATAACCAAAATTGCTGTTGAAGCCCTTCATTTTTCACTTCACTGCTTAGGTTTGTGAACTATATATAAGCCTAATTTGACATGCCTGCACAGAAAATGTTTTGCAGCAAGTTTACAATCTAAACTAGATTTCTGCATGTTGTTTTCTTGTTCATTGTGTGCATTTTATTTGCTTCTCATAATGGTGATTGTGTTTTCCTAGTTTGGCTTCATTAACTATGAAGTTGGTGATGGTAAAAAGCTGTTCTTCCGTGTGAATGAGGTACTGGATGGTGTTGAGTTGCAGCCTGGAGATGAGGTGGAGTTCTCTGTCATCTTAAACCAGCGTACGGGAAAGTGCAGTGCCTGCAATGTGTTCCGTGTCAGGTGAGCTTTTGGCATAAACAAAAATAATGTATTGCACAGAAAAGCAAAAAAAAAAAAAAACTTTTCAGTTTTGATGCTCGGTCTCAAATTATCTGGATTTGGTGATCGTTTAATGACGTACCGTAGGCTTTGTAGTAACGTTTGACTCCTTATAGGTGTTCACTGATTCTTAAATTATTCCGATTTTTAGCTTTGCTTTATAATTTCGACAGAAACTGTTAAATTCATTCCTGTATGGTTGTGCGATCAGATAGCAAAATCGGAGCAAAGCTCAGTAATTCTAATTTGTGTATTTCTGGCTTGAAATGTTAAAATCCTGTAGTGTCAAATACACAAAACTGCAGAATATTTTTGCAGCTACAAGTATGGCTCTGTCCAGTGTATGGGGAGTACTGTAAACTTGCCTCACTGCACAGGCTGTGTCAGGTAGTATGAAGCATGCTCTCAAAAGTATTGTTTGCTGTTGCTTGATTTTCTGTGGTGCAATTGAGATTATTTATTTCAGATGGATATAATTACTACAATTGGGTTAAAATTGTAAGTTTTGAAATTGAAGCCCTTGAAAATATCATCGTTGATCTTTAACGAGAGTTTTTAAATCCAGAAATCTAACTTTCTCTCTCTCCAGTTTCCCAAACAGATATTCAAGTAATGGAATTCTGAGCGCATAGTCAAGTCACTTTCTCATTCCTCTAAAATCACTTAGAGGCCTAGAGGTGTACAGCATGGGGAACAGACCCTTCGGTCTAATGCGTCCGTGCCAACCAGATATCCTAAATAAATATAGACCCATTTTCCAGCATTTGGCCCGTATTCCTCAACACTTCCTATCCATAAACACATCCAGATGCCTTTTAAATGTAGTTCTGCCAACCTCCACCACCTCTGGCAGGTCATTTCCATACATGCACCACCCTCTGTGTGGAAAAAGTTGCCCCTTGGGTCCCCTTTTCTTTTTTAAAATCTTTCTCCTCACATCTCACAGTGCCGTCCAGTTTTGGACTGGACACCCCACCCCCCCCCCCCCCCCCCCCCAGGGAAAAGACTTTATCTGTTTTCCCTATACATGTCCCTCATGATTTTACAAACCTCTATAAGGTCACCCCTCAGCCACTGATGCTCCAGGGAAAATAGCCCCAGTCTATTCAGCCCCTCTATAGCTCAGATCCTCCAACCCTGGCAACCTCTTTGTAAATATTTTCTGAACCCTTTCAAGTTTCATAACATCCTTTCTATAACAGGGAGACCAGAATTGCACGCAGTAGTGGCCTAACCAATGTCCTGTACAGCCACAAAATAACCTCCCAACACCTATACTCTATGCACTGATCAATAAAGGCAAGCATACCAAATGCTGCCTTCACTATCCTATTTCTTGCGACTCCACTTTCAAGGAACTGTGAGCCTGCACTTGAAGGTCTCTTGGTTCAGCAACACTCCTCAGAACCTTACCATTAAGTGTATAAGTCCTGACCTGATCTGCCTTTCCAAAATGCAGCTACTACTCAGCCTCTTGGCCCATTTGATCAAGATCAGTTGTACTCAGGTAACCTTTGCTGACCACTACATCTCCAATTTTGGCGTCATCTGCAAAATTACTAACCGTACCTCCTGTGTTTACATCAAATCACTTGTATAAATGACGAAAAGCAGTGGACCCAGCACTGATCCTTGTGGCACTCTGCTGGTCACAGGTCTCCAGTCTGAGAAGCAATCCTCCACCACCCTCTGTCTTCTACCTTTGAGCCAGTTCTGTATCCAAATGGCTAATTCTCCCTGTATTCCATATGACCTAGCCTTGCTAACCATTCTACCATGGTGCTTTCAGAAAATTAAAACATTAGCTTTCCTTGTATAGAGACGAGAATATGGAGTGATACCTCTGAATCAGAAGGTTGTGGGTTCAAACTCCACTCTTGATACTTGAATCGGCAGTGAGGTACTATCTTTGAGATGAAACATTAAACTAAAGGACCCTGTACTCAAGGTGAAAGTACAAAAGGTTCCATTTGAATTGCACTAGATAGACTACCACCTTGACCGACCAGGACCTAATTTCACCACTCTTCCCTGAATGCCTCCCTTCTAGCAAAATACACTTGCAAATTGAGTGCAAAGCAAAAAGATTTTGTCATGTGCTTAGTAAGTAGTAAATTTCAGTGGGTTTATTTTTTAGTGAGGGCCCGAGACCGGTGGCAGCTCCACGTCCGGACCGTTTAGTGCATCGTTTGAAGAGCATCACATTGGATGACGCAAGTGCTCCAAAACTGGTCGTGCTTCGCCAGCCTAAGGGACCTGATAACTCCAAGGTAAATACTCTCATGGTGGTGAGAAATTTTAATCAGCTTGTTGATATGCATGAATAATTTGTTGGAACCTATGTTTTAATAGTTAGCTCAAGTCTGACCCCTCTCTAACTGCTGAATTATGGTTTTGTAATAAAGATTCTAAACAGTCATGTCTTTGCCAAAACATTGCAATTGCTCAATTATTTTATTAAATCCTGCTGGAAAGCAGGACTGTAATTTTAGGTGAAATTAACATCTGTAGATTGGATGATTATTCACGAGGTTTATATTTTAAAGTGGAAATGCCAAAACTACCATTATTTCAAATTTTTATTCTTATCAGTATCAGGACATTTTTAAAAACTGAAGTGCAGTTTCAACCTATGCAGATTATGGTATTTCTTTCCTATAATATAGACCAGGTCACTCACTCCAATATATATTGCCAGCACCTCATTTGAATAACCTTTTAACTGCCTAAAGCCCAGTGAATGGCAGCAGAAGTTGATCAGTTGAAAGCCAGATCCCATCAGCAATTCCCTTACTATATCACCCGACTCATTCTTTCTCCATATCTTGGAACATTGAGATTTGTAGAAGTCCCATAGGCATTCCAGCTGGAACTATGTAAATCGGTACACAAGATTGAACTTGGTCTTCCTACCCTGACTTGGATCACAACAGTCATTAGGAATTTGAAGCAATCTAGTTTTCAGCCTGTCATCTTCAATTACTAAGTGATCCTGTGTACAGCTGTTGGTTTTGTGAATGAACTAACAGTCGTCAATGTGGTTGCTAAACAGTCTACAGCTGAAATTTATCTCCAATAACTGAAATATTTTAACTGAGCACCAGCAACTTCTTCACAGGTCTGTTTTGACTAAATGCAGTTCTGTCAAAGATTGAGTTGCTTGTGATGCAAATGTTTGCTCCATCCTTTAATTTCCAGTTATTTAACAAGTGAATGTGCATCAAGGTGTACATAAATATAGACAGATTTCAGATAGATTTCCTGGTCTATGAACCTTAGCTGATTCCAGGATGTTTCAGTTGAGTTGGTTTGGAGCCTTCCTTGAACTCTCCATTGTGTTTTCTATTAGAAGTTAGCAGTGAAAGAATGTGAAGCTCCAATTCTTCAAGTTTGGGGATACTGTTTCAGCTGTAGCACAGACTGAAAATCTGAACACTGGAACCATTTCTCATTCTCAGATACACAGCTGTTGTTGCTGCCCAAGTTTGAGGTACAAATGCTGTATGTTTGACAGAGCACACAGAGATGCAAGCTAAACATTTATAATAAAACTACAGGGACACCAACTTAAAGTTAGACATCGTAGATTTCTGTCTGCCAATTTATGATCACTTGTCCTTTCAAAACCCAACTATGATAGATTTCATCCAAATGAGAATCCCTAAGTAGCTCGAAGCCCTGTTAAAAAGATTATCTTAGAATATAATTCTGTTCTGAAGAGAAATAAAAATCCTAAATTTTTAGGACCTAGCACAAATCATCCCATGGGTGTAATGTTTTCTGCTGAGTAGCTGCCTTCATGGTTATATTGCGCACTTTTTTGTTAGGTATAGCATGTGGAGCAGTGTGAGCACTTATTGTAGGCTTGACCCCTTAGTGCTGAACCCCCACAGGGATCACAGTGGTCATGCCATGTTTGGTCACTGTATCCTTGGCTGAGAATCTATAGAAGTTCCTCTTCCTGACTTTTCTGTCTCCCTGTCTCATGGCCTGCCAACAGTCAGCATCTTGTTATTTAAGAGATCTTTTGGTCTGCTGTCCTCTGGAACCTGAAGAGGGCAGAAATTTGGGAAGCGACCAAGGTTCTGTGACTTCAGTGGTTCAGCCAGCATTCAGCACTTGTTGATCGTAATCATATTTACTATTGCTCATTTGACTTGCAAGTGAAGCCTGAAAGGTATTTAAGATCAGTGTAAAATTTGGCAGCTGTGGCTCTGAAGTGTGAACAGTTTACCTCCTGAGTTTATTATATTGATTAGGCCAACTCTGCAGTTTTGTTACCAATGAAAATTGTAATTTTATTGTTTCTGCTGTATCCAGTTGCTAGAGAAGTCAATGAGAAATTAACCACTTGTTTTATTACTTACAGGGATTCACTGCAGAGAGAAAGATTCGTCAAGCTGGAGTCATTGATTGATTTCTTTTCTCTTCCCCCAGCAAGCACATTACCCAATGCAGTATCTTCGGGGAGGGGAGGGTTTACGCAAGATTAGTCTGCCTCTACTACCCTCTGTGTTTCCCAGTCCAAAATGGAACACAGTTTATCTATTTTCAAGCAAATCTTCAGTTCTACAACTTGTCTGTGCTTTTATCAAAAGCTTAAAAAAAAAATACAAAATGAAGCAAAAACAAAAAAAATACAAAAAAGTAATGCACAGGCTCGGGGCAGTGAATAAGCAGGAAGCCTTATTAGTTTCACAACCTTATAGGAGCTTGATTTAAAATCAAACAGCATCTTACATCAGTGCTAATTTGAATTTGTAAGTTTATTTGCCTTTAAATGTTAGAAAAAAAAATCTGAAACACTCGTGCCATGAGTGCTGGCTTTCATTAAATCTTTCAATACAAGTTTGTTGATGCTGTGGAGCACTGCAGCCTTGGAACACTTTTTTTCCCTATTCTAGAAACTAACAGATCTGTGCCTAAAAACAAATATCACTGTTATTCCCACAAAGGGCACCCTGTGTAATGCCGAATGAAAAAGAACGGCTGACTTTTTTAAAAAAGTATATTAATGCATCAAGGTGGAAATGTTAATTGTTGGTACTGTATATATGCCTTTTGCATAGAAACAGGGAGACTAGTTGATATCAAGCGTTAGTAATCAAATAACTGGTCTGTGTTATTATACCAAATAAGATCAGGAATTTAATTGTTGGTGTGGGACAGAGGCAGTACCCTGTTTCTGTTTCGCCTCTGCTCACAGTTTGGGGTTTGTCTATACTGGGAGATTGCTTTGTTCTTGCAAGAAAGAAAATAAAACACCTGGCTTTCTCCTGTGTCCCTGTTAATGGTCATGAAAAAGAAACTAGAATAAAAAGTTTTACCATAAAGTTTGAAATCTTAAATCAACTTTGTCAACCTGGATCACTGGACATTGAGATTCTTCCATTGGTTTCAATGAGTTAAATTGTTAATTTAGCAACTTCAGGGCATGGCATGTGTGAATAAAGTGAGTACAAGGAGGAACTTTTCTAGCTGAATTATGAACTTAAAGCAGAATGTTGCCTGCCAGTCCATCCAGAATAGGTAAGGGTGCTTTGAAAAGAGCAACTACCTTGCCACTAGCTGAATATAATGCAGCCTGACATGAAGCCCTATGTATTTAGGAAGTGTGGTGTGCATGAGGTGTGAAGCAAGATGAAAGGCACTTTCACAGTGAATATTCATTCCAAGTTACAAATATTGAATAACATTTGCAACACAGTAACAGATCAGTCAATTTGACAGGACTATCAGGTTTATGACCCACCCTGTCTCACCACATCCTTTTATCTAACTCATTTAAAGACAAGTGGTATTTTTAACATAAGATATCCAGCCACTTTCCAAGAGCAGCACCCTCCCAAAAACACCAGGCCACTTGAAACGGTGAGACACCAGATGAAATGCGGAGTTTTAGAGCATAGTTTATAACTTGTAAGAGATATCCAGTCTCCAGTGGTCACAGGTCACCAATGTTGTGGCTGAGGTGAATCCTTGTTAACAATAGCAAGGGAGTTCTCAATATTACAAAATGCAATTGGAGCTCTGGATTTTTAACTAAACCTTTTCCAAACTAATGAAACTGAAAGTAAAGATGATCATTTCTCCAAGCCAGCTATTGAACAGAATGTGATCCACTCCCCAACCCTTTTGATTCTATTAGTTTGTGATTTGTGAAAACCGCATGGATCTGTCAGCCTGGTATTGCCATAAAAAAATTTGGTCCCTTGAGCAACTCTGTCTCTACAATGGGCCAGAACAGCGTATGTATTACTAATCACTACCATACCTACATACCCCAACTAAAATTGCCTCTGATCTAATTCACAGGCAAATTGCAGTTATCAGCCTCCCAGTCCCACTCAGCTAGAAGTCCAAGCTCAGATACCTGATTGGTGCTTTGATGGAAATGCTGTAATTAGTTATGGGCAAAAGTCTCTACCCTGGTTACATGCTGGCAATGTTTGTCCTATATGGTGTGCCTCATCTGTTGGTCATCAGCTAAATCCATAAGTTCTTGGATCCCTCACACGTATCATTCAGTTTGAAGACTTTCTGCAGCTGTCTGTGTGACTCTTTCCTTCACATCGAGGCTCTGACTTGCCCTAGTTAGAACTTTGTTCTTAATGTCTGTTACCTAGTTTCTGTTATTTCCACTTGTGCTCTGTTTTCCCCATCTCCTGCATCACTGCATCCCTGCCTCTGTTGGTCGATGTTTTCCCTCATTCTACCAGCTTATCACTAATCTCCTAGAGTTCTTGGAATATTTGTTTCTCTTATGGCCTGATTTTTCCCTCTACTTCAAGTTTGAATCACTCCATCCCATTACAGTAGTAAAATGAGTCCAAATTCCAGAGTGACTGTGATGCATTATTCCAGTTTAGCATCTTTATGATCAATGACTTGATCAGCCACACCATCTTGCATCTCTGTTGTTAACCTCTGGGCCTGCTTTTGTTTGTTTCAGTGTCTACCTATTCATTACTACCCAGTTAATATTGTGGGGGAGAAGATAATGAAGTTGATGCAGGAATTGTTACCAGGGAGACCTGGTCGTGTCTCTTCATGTCACATCACTTGGGATCTCTGGTATGCAGGTGGCATGACGCTGAGCCAGAACATGAAGAGCTCTAGGTACTATAGTATATGTAGTCACAAGATGAATCTTTTGGCCTGAACATAACTGAAGCAAATGCTAATGTTCTGCTTTAAAAGGCCATGATTAAAATCAAAATTGGGAACAGAAACAAAGGTAGTGATTTTGATTTTGTCACTTTCACAAAAATAGTGAAAAGCTTTGTTTACGAGTGGTATATGCAGATCACAGCAAGCAAAGGATGTACCGATCAAAAAGATTTAAGGAATACAGGTTACATTGAGGCTAGAGTCCATTCAGCCGTCTGATATCAGCCGGAAAGAAGCTGTTTCTGAACTTGCTTGTGCATGTGTTCAGGCTTCTGTATCTTCTGCTTGATGGAAGAGATTGTAGGAGGTCATTACCATGGCGCAATGGGTTGATTCCCAGGAAGACTGATTTGACTTCTGAAGCTGTGACAGGGGGGGTTGTCAGGGCAGGTGTTGCCACACTAGTGGTATTCTGCTCAAACTGAGCATAGAAAGCATTGAGCATGTCCGGGAGGGATGTGTCATTGTCTGCTGTGTCATTGACCGCTATCTTACACTGTTGTGTATCCTGTAATGTCATTTAGGCCTCGCCATAGATGGCGGCTGTCTGTATGGTAGGTCTGGGCCTCTAACTTGGTCCGGTACTGCCTCTTGGCCTCCCCGATGGCTTTGCAAAGGTCATATCTGGATTTCTTGTATTGGTCCAACTTGAATGCTGCACTCCTGATCTTCAGGGTGTGGATTTCCTGGTTCATCCAAGGCTTGTGGTTGGGGAACACTCTGACTTCTTTGGTACACAGTTCTCCACGCATTTGCTAATGAAGTCAGCGATGGTGGTAGCATACTCATCTAGGTTTTCCGTTGAACACGGTCCAGTCCAGAGTCCAAGAAATCCCGAAGACGGTCTCCTGCTGCCTCGGCCCAGCACTGCCACTTTTTGTGAAGGCCAATTCAAGCACTTGGTCAGTTGTAATCATTAAAATTATATCTCTGGTTAAATTAGTTGCAGGAAGAGGCAGAACTTGGTGAACCCAGTTGGAAAAAGAGCCAAATATGGATGTGGGAAACAAAGATCCTGAAACCCTGTGCTCACTAACTGAAGGAGGAATGTAGACTTAAAATATGAGGGACAAATAAGATGGGTGGTGACGTTGGATTGAGGACTGAGGGAGGCCTGAAGAAAGCTAGAGAAGCAGCAAGGTAACACCCAAGACAGCAGTGACAACTAACAAATGTGTAGACAGCAATGCCTCCTTACATTGTCGAAACAACACTTTATTTCGAAGCTCCCTAAGACACTATTGTTGGCCTCCAACCTCTTCAAATGTTCCTTGTTGGTATTCATCTGACATGGGAGTCTGCTTTCACACTAGTAATAATTTGACCAGAATTGCACCAAATCTCAACCACCCTTCACGTCTCAATCTTGTCAATTTTGTTTGTAAATCGTCCAGGTTTAATTGAGTTGAAATAAATTCTTTTTAGATATGGGAAGAACCAGCCATTTGGATACAGAACTGGCTTGAAGGTACAAGACAGGGTGGTGGTGGAGGGTTGCTTTTCAGACTGGAGGCCTGTGACCAGCAGTGTGCCACAAGGATCAGTGCTGGGTCCACTTTTTTTGTCATTTATATGAATGATTTGGATGTGACCATAGGAGATGTGGTTACTAAGTTTGCAGGTGACACCAAAATTTGAGATATACTGGACAGTGAAGAAAGTGTACTGAGGTCAATGGGATCTTGATCACATGGGCCAGTGGACCAGGGAGTGGCAGATGGAGTTTAATTTAGATAAATGAGGTGCTGGATTTTGGAAAGGCAAATCAAGGCAGGACTTGTACACTTAATGGTAAGGTCCTGGGGAGTGTTGCTGAACAAAGAGACCTTTGTGCAGGTTCATAGTTCCTTGAAAGTGGAGTCACAGGTAGATAAGATAGTGAAGAAGGCATTTGGCATGTTTGCCTTTATCAGTCAGTGCATTGAATATGAGTTGGGAGTTCATGTTGCAGCTGTACAAGACATTTAGTTTGGTCACTATTGGAATACTGCGTGCAGTTCTGCCCTCCATGCTATAGGAAGGATTTTGAGAAACTTGAAAGGGTTCAGAAAAGATGTACAAAGATGGTGCCAAGGTTAGAGCCTTTTGAGGTAAAGGGAGAGGTTGAATAGGCTGGGGCTATTTTCTCTGGAGTATCAGAGGCTGACAGGTGGCCTTGTAGATGTTTATAAAATCATGAGGGGCATGGTTAGGGTGAAATAGATAAGATCTTTTCCCTGGGCTGAGGTGCCCAAAACTAGAGGGCATAGGTTTAAGGTGAGAGGGGAAAGATTTAAAAGGGACCTAAAGAGGCAACTTTTTGAGGGTGGTGTTTATATGGAATGAGCTGCCAGAGGAAGTGGGGGAGGTTGATATGGTTACAACCTTTAAAAAGCATCTGGATGGGTAGATGAATAGGAGGGGTTTAGAGGGATATGGGCCAAATGCTGGTAAATGCGAAGCGATTAATTTAGGAAATCTGGCACGGATGAGTTGGTTTGAAAGGTCAGTTTCTGTGCTGTACATCTCTCTGACTCAATCTCTGCCCCATTACAACTATTTAAAAAAGGCATAACAAATGGGATTGAGGGTTGTGGCTGTAAAGGCTTTGATTAAGGCAAAATATTAATACATCAACACAAGATATTGATAAGATCATTTCACTATTGTGTATTGTTCTGGTCAGCTCATTGCAAGAAAGGTGTTGAAGGCAGAGAATATAAGATATTAAGTACTATTTTTTATTAACCAGCCATTATCATGGGAAGATGGACAATATTAGGTCTTTTTACTGGAACAAAATGTTCATAAAGACTTGCATAATTAAACTTGAATAATTCTGGATGTACATATGATGGAACAAGCTGTAGATGAGATGATTCACAAAGCTTTGATGTAATACAAGATGATGCAATCGGAAGGATAACCGATGTACATCATGAAATTACCCAAATTTTCCGATTCATTGAAAACATAGATTGAAGGATTTATCTCACATTTCCAGTTAGGTTGAAGCCCAGAAATTTGAACTTTGTCTACACTTTTTGATTCTTATGTGTACTTCCCAAGTTAAGAATATTACAAATTCCCTGTGTAGTGTAAAGGTGGAAGTAGTTGGAAAACCT